GGGTGTACAAGCACTGAGGCGTGTCCTGGACAAGAACAGGAATGTTTTGAACAGGCTACTACTAAGTAGAGTAGTACAGGCTATTCTATATGACCTGTCCTGCTATATAGGCTGTGATTGCGTCTTCCTCTATAGCACTGCAACTAATACCCCGTTGTACGATCGTGTGGAAAAGGTCATTGGAGTCCTGGTTATTTTTATCAAGCTTTGAGGATATGTGGCCTTGTCACACAGGGAATACATGGCCTTATCACTAGTAGCAAAAAAATCCTTTTTGCACTCTTCTCCCTCACTTGTTTCCTGGAACTGCCTTAGTACATCATTTGTTGCTTCCTTCTGCAGTTTTAAGCTTTCAGGTCCAAATTAGGCATGACTTGTAGACTCAAAGAACAATCCTGGCTTGAAGGGACCTTGAAAGATCATCTGGTCTGGCCTGTTCAGGTCTGTGAAAGGTGGATCTCCTTGCCCCCATGTCCTCCTCAACTGACCTCAATTTAGTGACACAGCAAACGTGGTGAGGGTGCTTTTGCTCCCATCATCCAGATCATTCATGGAGATGTTACAACTTGGAGCCCAGTACTGATCCTTAGGGGGGCCCCCTTGGGACAGGCTGCCAGTCTCAGTAAAACAAGCTGATCACCTATGAGATGATTCCTGCTTATCTCACGGATCAGCCCCATCCAGTGTATACTTGACATTTATATAGGAGGTGGCTATGGGAACCAGCGTCAAATGCTTTGCCAACGTCAGCTGAACAATACTGCTCTCTCTTGACATGCTATTTTTCTGTAGCTCTTACCAATTGAGCCTGGCATGATTTGCCTTTGATAAACTCACACAGAGTTTTCCCAGTCACCTGCTTTGACCATGGGTTTAGGTCATGGATGACTCAAATGGCCAATCCGAAAGACGCTAATGAAGAAGGAGCACGTTTTCTCTGCCCTTGTGCAGTAGGAACTGCAGTAAAACCACAAGGCCAGCAGCTGCAATAGTCCCTTAACTGCTTAACAGCAGTTCAAAACCTGTGATACTAAACACAATGCCACGTGCTATCTGGGAATTGCAGTTTTCCTTGCATGTCTTAGCAGTTTCAACAGGATTTCTGTTCTTTAACGGCAGATTTTCTGCAAGTCTGAAGCTTGGTTGCAAACTCAGATACACTTTAAGTTTCAGGGCAAGTAATGCACCCTGGTCAGAACCTGACCGGGTGCCATTTCACCTCTTTGCAACAAAAGGAACAGAATACACACACCATTGACATACATAATTACTTTTAATCAGCAAGGTCTGAATTTAGACAGCGTGACACAGAAAACAAATGAGGAAAAACTGGCAAAGCAAAGCATCTTGAAGGAACCTAAACAAAATGTTGGACCATCCTTCTGAGCTACTCTCGTAACTAGGTGAAGTGAGCCCCTGTTTTTCCCAGCAGTTTCTGTCTGCCACCCAACTCCATGGAATCACTGAGTCTCCTCCAGGCAACTCTGGAAAACAGTAATGTGCAAACACCTGCTGAAGCAGGACAGGGACTGGTCAAGTCTGAGCATTTTTTAGAGCTGTCTCAGGGTCAGATTGATGCCCACCAGGAACACAAGGCCTTTCCTGCTCAGCTGCTCTGGCATATGCGATTATTCCTACACAGAGGCAAAACCTTTCAGATTACTTCTGGACTCTATCAGATAGTTTTCCAGCCTGGCAAGTTGGCTCTTCCTTTTCTTTGCAGACAATAGAAGTTTGTCTTTACAGAGATGGAAGTAACTACCATTATTAGCAGGGAACTTGCACTCAAGGTTGTTTGGAACACATGAAGCATCAGAGCTTCCTGAAACAAGCACCTTCTGCTATTTTACCATCACATTCCCTCAAATTTCCTACCAGATTCTGACAGAGGAAGTAGCAGTTCCTTTATCTATACAGCTTCAAACCCTGTGTTCATGCTTCTTTGGGGATTCCTCAAATGGAAGCATTTTTTCCTGTACAGCATTCTTCCTCTTCTGTCTCCTCCCTCAGCGGGCCACATGAAGGGTAGGAAATGCTAAGACAGGGTAATGTTCTTAGCAAAGAGCAATATTGAAAAGTCAGCAGTGACAAAAGCAGAGGAAAACAAGGAAAGCCAGTGTGATGCTTGCAAGATACACAAATCCAAAAGACTAACTGTTCCTCAGCTCTCTGTCTAAAAATAGGACTAGAAATATGGGCTTATTATGAATCTGCTCCACAAGCTATCAATCTGTGCTATGCACATCGCTCTCATCAGCCAAGAAAGGCTTTTAGGGTCTTGTATTATTGTTTCTGTCAGATTAATGAACTCACTGCCGTACATGAAGGGGTTTGAAAGTTGTGAAGGTGAAGGCCTGAGGCACTGGCAATTTCTACTACTTAAATTTCATCTCAGCCTCACTCCTATCCCTGCCCCATAAAAAACCAAAACAAAACAAACTCAAAAGAAAACTCCTGGAAACTACATGTAATCCACAACTGTTATGAGTCAAGAGGTCCACCAATGTTTTGAACAAGCTAGGATGCATCAGGTGAAAGCATCACTCTGTGATCCCATTACGGAGCCACTGAGAAACCAGAACTCCTGGGAAGTGTTCTCCCAAGTAAAGCCACAAATACGCTGCAGAGAGCACCAGCTATCCTCAGGAAGCCAGAGGCCATGCTTTTCCTACAAACAAGAGTTCACAGATTGTCTGAGCCTGTTTTTCACCTGTTCTTACCTCTACTGCTGCCTAGTGCTTGCTGAAGGAGCCACAGAGCCATCCATACTCTCTAGAAGCCACATCTGAACAGGTGAATCCCATTTTTTATTTCCCTCTCCCCTGCCTCTGCTCTTTCCCATCATTCAGAAGCCACTGATGTACTGTGAAATAATTACCCAAAAAGACAGTCAAAAGTCTTTTGCCGAATGATAGGCTGAATTTACACTTAAATTCTGTCAGTCATTTGAACTCCAGAGGTGAAAAAAGCTGAACAATGGCACATTTTTTACACAGGATGCATATATACTTTATTTTGGGAACAACATTAAAAATTGTTTCTTAGTCTAGAATATCTATACAGAATTTAGGATATAGAGTGCCCTTTTAAACTCATTTTTTGTCAAATGTACAAAAATATTACAGAGAAACAATTGTTAATCAAAGCACAGTAAATGGATGCCATTTTTCAACAGTTCAAAACAGTCTCTAAACCAGTGCAAATTTTATTGCATTAAGCTTCCCAGCTCACTTAAGAGATTCATAATTTATTCATGCTACATCATTTCATCCTTGTTACAGTATAGTTTATTTTAAGCTCCTAATAGGAATTTAATGTGCTTCTAAACAACAGCAAACTATCCCTTTTATTTGCACCATTGGTTGATGCAGACTGAAAGAACAAATAAAAACGCCATCCGATCCTCTCATGTATGCATCACAATACACAGCACAGGAGACTACAGAACTGGAATCCAATTCAACCTTTCAGTTTCAACTCTTACAAGTTAAAAGGGTGTTTGTTTTTAAAACAATACATAGTGAAAAGTGGATATACAGAATGCATTTTAAGATTTTTGTTAGTTGAAAGAAAAAAAGAACCCTTTTATTGAAAATATACAATTATGTGAATAAGATTACCTGCTTACTGTAAATAAAATAGGAGTTATCTGCATTGAAATAATTGCTGAATTAAGAAGAAAAAACTACTGAGTGGATTCTTCAGTTCCTTACATTTTAACAATTTGTTTTAAAAATATAATTTCTATTATCTAATTTAATATACATTTTGAAAATATCCCCTATGTTGCAGTTATTCAAGGAAAGCAGTAAACTCAATGGAAGGTATATTCTTTTAGCTGCAGCAATACAAAAAGCCATTAATTCACAGTTAAAATAGAATATTACTCATTCACAAGTGCAATGTAGCTTGAGCTTAACCAATGTGAAATTCCACCAGGAACAAGACTAAGTTACTTGCAAAATTGATTTAGCTGGAAACCCATATAGTAAATAAAGTATTTCCATTACAATTGTAATGTCTAAACTTGTATTGTCTAAATTTAAGTTACATAAAATTTGAAGACAGGATATGATTATAAGTAACATACAGATGCTTCTAGTAACATCTAAAAGCTGTTACCAATTACTGCGCCAACACTGAAGCCACATCAGTCTCCTAGGCCTAAAAGGTTTTCAAAGTTGTCAGGTTTTGGTGATGTGCCAGAACGTAATTGATAAAGAAAATCTTTTTAACTTAAGAATCCTGATTTTAAACTTTTAAGACCTCATTTGTTGTTTTAATTCCACAAAAAACCCAGCTCTTCGCCTGTGATCTCACAAGCTCTATATGTAACTGATTTAAAGTTGGGAGAAAGGTGCAAGATAGTATCTTAGCACAACTGGCTGCAGTTCAACATCCTTATGGAAACAATTCAAGGAAGCTTCTCTGATAATTGTTCTTCCAGTACAAACTTTCTAAGTTCTTGGGCATACCTGAAATTCATTGTTTGCATCCACTTCTGTTACCAGGTTGCTCTACACCCTCATTTTGTCCACACATTGCATGTTTTGAAGTTAGTGCTGACTGATCTGCAAATGTTTTCCTCAGGCTGTATGTGGCAATTACAAAATATATAGACAGAAGACTCATCTCCTGAACACTGGCTCTTGAGGTACTAGAAAGAGTATGCGGTGGCAAGCGTTTCACAAGTGAGCAAAATGCTACTTTTTCTGTTTATATTGACAGAAAAACAGAACCAAAATCTAGCTTATCCTCATTTGTCCTCCACAACACTGCTCAGATCAGTAATGTATAACAGATCCAGATAAATTTCAATACCTAGGAGTTGGGTGTCAAACAAGTTAGAAGCATTTGTACATTACTAAGTCATCCCCATGTAGTCCAAGAAGTTCATCCTGTCAACTAAATTGCAGAAGTGTGCCTTTAGTGCCTAATTTTCAGAAGAACAAAAGTTTGCAATGCACTCACAACAATCTTTTGAAATTTTTCCCTGGTTATTTTTGGCCAGATTTTGTGAAACTTACTTTCCCCCCACCTCCAATAAAAGCATCCTAGATGAAAACAAATTGTTTTCAGGTATCTCCCTTTTCATCTGAGCTATGGATTATATTAAAAAACCAACTGATTATTAGCTACTCTAGAACCTAAGCATTAAGAACTCCCTATAGAAAGGAGAAGGTTTTCCTTTTTTTTATTCTATATTAAAGAATCAATTCCAATATGCAGATTCAAGATTTCAAGTAGCTACGTGCAGGACTTCTACCACTCTGAAATCCAGGTGCCTACACCAGGAATAGCAGTTAATTTGTAGTGTACAAAAATGCCAATATGCAAGAGCAAATCAAAGCAAGTCCAATTCTGCAGCTGATTTTTTCTCCTCTGGCTTTACTTTTGTTGGGTTTTTTTGTTTGTTTAGTGTATATAGCTGGGAAATTGGACAATTAACACTAGACACTGTGACACAATCTGCTTTGTTGTCTTTACAACACTACTCCCTTATTAGTCTATATTTTCAGCAACAGATGATAAAGTTGTTTGGAAATGAAGATTATGTGTTTCCAGAAACTAGTTCATAACAATAATATTTACTATGTTTTAAAACTGTTTGGATGTCACGTATCTAAAACAGCACTCACTACACAGATTTTCCTTGTCATTTAATGAGTTGTGAGAATTTAAAAATTACTAAAGTGACTAAAACTTGATTACTTGCAAGTTGCATCACATAATCACATGGTTTGTCTGTTTAATACTCAAAAATAATGGTCTTTGTGTAGCTGTCTGTTGAAAAATAATGCATAGAGTTACACAGAAAAATTTGCTGGCTTTGATTTGTAGAAATATTAAATTGTTTGGATCAATGCTTTAGATAGACTTGTATTTTAGAAGGATGGAACCATGTCAATTATGTAACTGGAGAAGAGAAGATGAAGAATCAAGGGCTGTTCTTTAATTATGATGTAGGTCAGACATCAGCAAGCAACTGTGCATAAACCCAAAGAATAAAAAAAAAATAATGATTGCGTGCTTTCTTGCTTTTAGTTGTTGAGAAAGCACAACAGTTTTATCAGGAGAGAATCTGTCCAGGTAATATCCCCATATTAACTTAGGATCAGCACTTGTAGACAAAATACCAGGCATCAGTCTATGATGTAAATATATTTTGTCATGTATAGTGCAACTCCCTTGTTTTCACCTCATGAAAAAAAAGTTGGTTTTATTGTTTCATATAAAAAATTGTTCCAGACAGATCTTCATCCCTCATCATTTTGAAGAATGAAAAGTTTTAAAAGTAGTATCAAGTAAATACATTCATACCCAGATGCAATTAGTATTTTAAGCTATGCTCCTTTTACATGCTACAAATATATTTTTTTCTCTATGAATTATTCCATTGTAAAAGCCATACCACTAACTTTCAGCAAAAACCTGGAATAAATCTTATCATATTCTTCAAGTAACAGAAACACTTACACTGTTGACCAGTATCCAGGCTTCCCTTGCCAAGACTACTACTACTGTAGTCAATTAAATATGTGAGGTGAGGAAGTGTCTTATCTACTAGAAGCAATACAAAAGATGGATACATCTTTTCAGATCATACACATAAGCACTTCATTTCTGCTAATATACACCTTGAAGACTACATTTATAAATACATCTTAATTGAAATATTGAATCTGGACTATCAGTGCAAAATAATTAACCCACAGGCTAGTATAAAACCAAGGGAGATGGTGATAAAGAATTCAAGGAGGACACCTCTTAAACACACATGCAAATAGTATAAAGCATAATTTTTTTTCCAGGCAGTATCTGTTGACAACTCTTGTGTGTATTCTAATACCATTTGAGCTTCCTACATAATTCTTAGAATGACATCCATTTCTGAGCTGCTTTGTGTAGAAGCTTATCCTCCTTTGGAGAAAGCAGCCAGTACATTTACAGAACCTTATAGTTTATCAGACAGAGAATACAGGAAAGTTGAGTGTAAGTCTCTGTTTTCTCACAGCTGTAGATACACACTTTGAAAAGGTCAGCAAAGGTAATTCAGAATACTGACTGGGACAAGAGTCAGGAGAAGGGTAGCAATTTAATGTACTGTCTGATGAAATTTAAAGTACTATCTGATGAAAGCAACTGCATTGCAGCTTCCAATCCAAGTTTTCAAATATTTACATTCATGCAACCATACCACACATTAATAAAAGGACTCTTCTCTAGGTAAAGGTCATTTTAAAGAAGCATTGAGGAATCTGAGCCCTGGAAAAGTACTTCATTAAAATACACCAATATTGGTGGCCCTTAAGAAAGTCACCAACTATAGATTGCTGTTTCATCATCAGCCTTTTGAACAATTTGATAATATGGAGGAAAAGTTTGAGGAAATTAAAGAATATATATATAGGAGAAAAGTAGATCAACCACTGAAATAAACCCATAATTTTAAAACATTTTGACAAATTTTACAATGTGCCCATGAGATGAATGAGAAGAATACATGTTGCAGTTCAATGAAACTGATTTGACAAATTGCTCAATTAATACCTTTTGAGACTCAAAAGTGTATATGAGAGAGACTCAAAAGTGTCTGTGTCACCATGCTCTTCGGTTTGTTCAGCTCTGCTTTTGTCTCTCCGAAGTACGGTGTGCGTCTTCCTTGTTTTTATATTAAAGGTGCTCCAAACCACTTCCTGCAACACTCAACCCTGCTGCTTGGTGGAGCATCTATTCTCTGCATCTTTTCAAGAATTTCCTCTGGTAGTTTTTTAAGTGCAAGTCTGTATTCACTATCAAAGACCTCTGAAATAGAAAAAGCACAATTGAGATTATTTAAGAAACACTGTACAATGCACACTACTATTCCTATAAAATGCTTTTGGTGATTTTTATATAGTAACAAAATTATCTTCATTAACTAGATGCTGATTTTCTTTTTTTTTTTTTTCAAAATGCACCTTCTCAGAGGACCTGAAAAGCATCCCCATAAGATGGCGTGGCACCACAACACACCACAGTGGATGCCCATTGCTTCTTTCCTGAAGTTCCATTTGCCTGTTCCCAGTGTAGTTCCCCTATCACATTCCATAAGGGAGTCACTTTGATTGTGTAGTACCAAATAGAAGACAGGATAGAAGAGATGAGTAGAGGGTGGGAAATCAGGTGTTTAGATAACAGGTGTTAGGCTTGATATGTGGGTCAGAGAAAGATGGACAAGACTGGAAACAAGCTTTCAGACATGAAGAATTACAATTTCAAGCTCTTCAAATACTCTTTGTTTAAAATAACTCATTACTGGTTTCAAACAAAGTCAAAATTAATGGTTCCATCTGAATTATATTTACATAAGAGCAACACCTAAAGACTGACAGTGCAGTAATTTTCACTAAAACACAATTGAATCTTAGAAATGGATTTTATACACTAGCTTTCACGTAAAACATCCACAGGGACTATGCATTTCACAGTATTTTTTACTTACCAATGTCAATGTTTTCTCTTCCAAGAGACACCAGAGACAGGAAAAGAATTTCCCTGTAAAAACTCCTAGGGGAATATTTTGAAGGCTGAGTTAATGAAAGCATCAACTATCTTGTTTCCAAAGTCAATATTGAAGACTTCCATTATGTAGCTTCTACAACTGTTCTGTTAACCTTGCTTGTGAAAAAAGTGACCAATCTACATGACTACTAGCTTAAGGTTTTTTAATGCTTGAATACTTTTACTTGATGCAGAAATCCACATTACTCCGAAATCCTAGTAGTTACACTTTCTACAAAAAATTCCTTTGCCATAGAAATGCCTAATAAACAAGAAATATTAAATTAACCACTTTTTTATTATTAATTAATTTCTGCCTGACCATGAAGCAATGTGTGGGTATGGATTTCTTTCAGATCATCCATACTTTTGTTTTTTGTTTCAGAATGTCATAGTCAATCTCAGACACAGGTATCATTAAATAATCAGATATTATTTTTTCCCCTTGTCGAAGTTATAAAGATGCTTCTCTGAGCAGAGCATTTTCTGTTTCTTTTTAGTAACTACAAAACACAGAAACAAAGATGACTTAGTATGACAAACTTCAAACACATCTTGTATCGACTGTAATTTACTTCAGAGTCTCTGCTTTTGTACAAAGCCTTCCTTGAACTGCAGTGCAGGTTACAAAATACAAGAATTATTTACACATCTCCCTCTCTTTGAGACTCACACTGCATCCACTTTTCATAGCCAGTACTCCAGATTGCTAGAATTTCAGAAGATATAACTAGGGAGAATGTTCCACACACTGCAACAGGACACTTGTATTTATCAATTTGCTAGATCTGGAGCAACATCAAAATCTGTGTAATTCATACCTGCATTTTTCTCACTCATTGCAAAATGTCCATTTTTATTAAAGTATCACATTCATCCATTTGATCTGGATGAACTATGCATCTGCATATAGAGTGCATCTGTTCATAAAACACAGGTGTAAAAAAAAATACACATAGTTTTTGGTGGGCACAAATGAAACAGAATCTTCCCCAGAGGTCTTTATAAAATTGTCACTATGAAATGTACACAGTCTGATCTTATTTAATTTTTAGTGGGGAAAAACTAAGAAGAGATTATACCCTCACCTCTGTCGTTTCACATCTGGCTTAACTTTCTGTAGGAGGAGGTTGATTGGCTTCATAACATCATTGTGTTGAATACTTAGTTTGATGCTCTCTAACAATGTGTTTGTTGCCCGCTGATCTTCTTCCAGTGTGGAGGGTTTCTTTTCAGAAGAATCTGGGAAGTGGAAACATACAGACTATTACAGTAGTAACAATTTTTTTTTCCCTTTAATAAGCAGAAGTATTTTCAAAGGTGAGATACACATGGAGAACCTCTACTCAATCTAGAGAAATTTGTCATAATGGAAGGACCTTGTCTGCCTATAGTCTTCACTCTGAAGTAACTTTGTCCAGAAGTTACAGGATGCATCAAGTATCCATGTGCAAGAGGTCCAACATGACAGAGAAATACATGAGACTGAAGAGTACCCAGCATCAGATGTTGCCTGTGATGGTTGATTAGCTCAGTTTTAGTTCTGTACTTAAAAATCAGGTTCACTGCAAGAAGATTATTGTTACACAAGGAAAAGAAACAGAAGCATCACTTTTCTTAGCAAGGAAACTTTTCTTATCAAAGCCCTTCTTGAAAGCCACCTACAATTAACTGAAAACTTTGGGATATATATTGAAATAGAAAATGCACAGTCGAATCAAACAGGAAAGAAAATGACCAAGACATTTACCATCATGATTTGTCACTTAAAATGCCACACTCAGAATAACACTGAACTATTATTTTCTAGAAGACAGTGACTCATGACGAAATAGTAAGTCCATGTACTGACAAAGAAGTAAATTTACAGATTAGGCAGTGAGTACATGGTGTGTAAATGAATTGCAGACCAAGTCTAGTAATTTTCACTACATTGACTTGATGTTTGCATCAAATTGACATATATGATACTTTACAAATGTAATTTTGTGTTTTCAGAATATTTTCTGACACTGCTGTATGGCCTGTCTATTTTTCTTCCACATCTCAAACAGGCCCTTTGCTCCTTTGTTTACATATATATACACATACATATATATATAAAAGCAATATATATAATATTTATATATGTAAACAATATATACATATTTATATTTGTAAACAATATATATACATATTTATGCATCTTCATTCATGGCTAGATGATTTGGGGATGCTTTTCATCTACTTTGTAGAATCTGAGGGAAATAACAAATGTTGTTCTGTGCTCTTAACTGTAATTTTCTGATCAGTCTCTTTATTTTAAGGACATTTTTCAATAAACACCTTTTAATTCCTTAGAACCAAAATTAGCACATGACATAGTTTTTAGCATAGTTTTTAAAAGTTAAAAGAAGGAATTAGAAGGTTTTCTGATTATCAGAAGTAAGGAAGTCCTTAAGTTCTTATAAACAGTCTGCCTGGTTTTATGCTAGATGAGGCTTTCTTCTATCTTACTTTTTGACAGTCAGGAGGGCTGCCAAATGTACCTTTAAAGGGACTGGTAATGTTTCATTCATTTACAGCAGCAAAAGATACTTTTTTGTAACACAGCCTTCTTGTACATGCCTGCATAGCTATTACCAGATAATGCAGTGAAACTGAAGTGGAACTTAAGGCGTTCAAATCAAGTGAGAGTTATTTAGCACCACGTCTACAACAACCAGCAATTCCTCTCCTCTTGTAGGTGTATGACAGGTAATGAGCAGATCAAACTTATTTTCACAACTAATTTGATACCCAGACTATGTGAAGTACCTAAGGGATTGCATATGCTTCAGATACTAAAAAAGATACTGCAAATTGATGGGTTGTGTATGCTTCAGCCACTATAAACCAATAGTTTCTTTCCATAGTCTCTTCTTCCTCTGTTTTCTGTAGCATTTGTTTTACTTACTGAGATTTCTCCAAGATATATATAGGGGCTCCCCCGGCTCTTGGTGGAGGTTGATGTTGTCCCATAGAAGATGGATGTATACAAGCTTGCTATCTTGAGCAAGAGATGTCAAAGGAAGCTAAAAACACATGAGGAAAGGGAATACATTTTAAAAACACCAGTACAGTGTTATGTTATTTAAAACTCCTGCCCTTTTACTATTTTTGTGAACAAAGCAGGTTAACTTTATTTAATTTGAATCTAACAAACAGGAGCAGATGTTGTCCCCTACAATAAACTGCACTCAACCAGAGTAGTCATAAGTACTTCAGTATTTAATTATCTTTTATAGTTTATCCTAATGTATGAAGAGCATTTAGTTTTCTACAGGCATCTGAAGAAAATATTTTTGAGTATGTATCTGGAAATATTTTTTGTGCATCAGACACAGTACTTGATCTGTACTACTAATCATATCATATTGCAATATTTTCTGACCTGATAAACATTTTGGTATGCATGTCTACGTATTGGCCTACCCAAAAAGCAGAAAGAATCTTCATATGAATACAAATATGAACTATTTATTTCCATTAAAAATATATGGTGCTCAAAACAACACATATAATTATTTTATAAAATTAAGTGCCTCTGGAATTACTAATACAATAAGAATTGAGGCAAGAAAAACTTCTCACTTAGTGTGTCTATTTACATAATAATTACATTATATTATGTCCCATCTTGCTGTTTTCCCTGTTAATGCATTGCAGTTTTCCAGGATGTTTTAGATTTCCTTAGTATTGTCTTCAACTTCTTTTCTTGGAAAATTTTTCTCAGTTCTAGGTGGGTGTTTTTTTGAAAATCGAGGGAAAGAATTTAAAGTTGAAGTGTGTACAAGTATATAGGAAAATACTAATTTTTGGCATGAACCAGATACAAATGCATATTTAATTTCAATTTGTACCTACTCATAAAAATTATATAGGTTTCAATCTACTCCTTTAAATTAGAAAGGCAAAATACTCAAAAGATATATCTATTCTACATTCTTTTGTTCTAGTCATGTAGTAATGAAACTCGGAGTTTGAATAGCAGAACCTATTCTTGGAAGAGAAAAAAAAATACTGTCCAGTAACTTTAAAGATTATAAACTCAAGTGTGTAACTCACTCTGTGTACTGCAATATATTACAGTTTTTGAGGTCTTTGCAGACACATCTTGTTTCCTACTCTTCAATGAATCTCACTCCCTGGCTTTTCAGTAAGAGACCATCTTGACTAGAACTTGAAGACTGTTTCACACATCTCCCTTCAAGAATCCTTGTGGGAAACAAACTTATCTACTTGTATGATAAAAACCCAAGAACTCATATTCAGCTGTTCAGGAATTATTTAGGCAGTTGTTTGGAACCCAGCTCCCAGTGTTGCTCATGGTAATACCCTCCGATCTAACACGAGGATGCCATTTACCTGCACTCCCTCATTGCAGTGCTCAGATGTCAGAATGAGTCCAGGTAAGTTGCTGGGCAGATCCAACCGTTGGAAATACCAGACTAGGTTCCAGAAGATTATGGGGTGTTGATTGATGAATTTGGATGTGTGAATTACTTGCTCTCCCTCATTCTCCAGGAGTGATTCAAGCTCCTTACGCAGTACCAAAGGGCTCAAGTAGGGTACAGATACAGGGGCAGGGTTCTGTTGTTTTATTAAAGGATCCTAAAAACAGAACATGCACAAAAAAAAAAATTGGTTTGTTTTTTTGGTTTCATTTGTTTTGGTTTGTTTTGGGGTGGATTTTTGTTTGGTTGTTTATTGGGGGGGAGGGGGGGGTTGTTTGTTTTTGCTTTTGATTTTGTTTTTTACGAAACCAAAGAAGATTTTTCTTCCAGAAATACTTGTCAGGATTACTTGCCCTGAAAACTTCCATTGCAGAGTTTCTTCTGACATTTGGAAGAAGCTCTGGAGCTACTGAATGCACAATAACTCTAACAGCATCACCAGTTTTTACCGTTGGAGAGTTCTTAATTTTAAAGAACAATCACCTATGCTTTTCCTATTATGTGAGCAAGAAAAAAAAATGCTAATTTGTTAGAACTTGTTCCCAATTGTGCGTTTTAAGCTATCTAAGCTGGTAGCCAGTACCAAGCCTGCACCAGTGGAAAGTGAAGAGAAATGTCAGTAATTACATGAGCTGTCAAACTGAATCGTGACTTCACATGCTAAGGCAGCCTCTGGAAAATAACAAGTATCAAGAGAGAGGAGAAACACTTTTTCAGACAGGAGTCTCAATACTGCCTCTCACCTTCTCCCATCCACTCCACAGGTAAGCCTAACAGAATATACAGTAGGAGTATAAGTAAATGCACAGAAACAGAACTAACTTTCCATCTTGCCATGTGTTGCACTATTGTGTTTAGTCAGCTGTTGGCATTGCTTTACTACTGAACTTCCAGTTTTAGAAAGACAAAGACTAGCTTCATTCTGTTAGAAGAAACATTTCAAATCAAGTAGAACTGTTTGTTTGACAAAGTATTGGAAAGCAATTTTAGATTAACTGAATTAAGACTTTTTTCAGTTGTTAGAAGGTGAAAATATGCTTGGTCATTCCCATTCTGCAAATGGACAAGAATGCTACTAGTAGAATATTATTAAATTCATTGTTTTCAATATTCTTCTCTCAACTGCATATGCAGCTTCTAGACTTACCACAGCTTCCTGCAAACTGTTGGGAAGACTAACTGTTGAAATGCCATGAGACGGTCTCTGGGAGAGATCAATGTTTTGCAGAGGACCTCCCACACTGTGGCTCCGAGTCAAGGACACGCCCCTTTTTGGAGGATTACTGGCATGTGTGGTCATGGTGGTGGGATCCATAGTCTGTTCTTCTGCCAAATCACTGTGTGAATTTTAGAAGAAAATATGCTAATAGTTCAGCATTTCTATGGCAACAGGAAGGAAGCAGAGGAAGGCTGCCAAGATCCTAAACCAATTTTCTCTATTAATATGAAACTGTATTTTCCCAGTTAGTTCCATTGTTTAGGGAACACAGAACAAAATGCGCCTCAGACCAGTATAAACATCCCTCCTGAAAAGCAGCTAGGTATAACTTGAGATATGCATCTGAAAGTACTGCAGTTCTGTACAGAAACCGTTGCTCTTGTATAACTTTACCTTGCTTTAAAAAAAAAACCAAAAAAAGCAGTCCACAGTTTTGCCAATCTGTGAAGATTATCTCCTTTTGACTACACTCACCTTTACTTCCTCTTCTCTTTATGTCCTAAGTGTCGTAAACAGAACAACAGTATAGCAGAAAGTAATTTAAAAATTGCATGCCAAAGTAATAATAAAAAAATTGTGTCAAACTCATTGAGCAAGCTAATTTAAGTAAAGTCAGACTTTTCAGATTTAATGCTGGTAATCAAGACATTTGCAGATCTGGGAATATTAGTTCTGTGCTCCTTTTAATTATAATGGATAAAATTACAGCTTCAACTACAGTGCAGAGGAACAAAGTGAAACAGAAAGTGTCTGCTTCCAGATAATCTGTAGAGAGCAAAGAGATTATTTAGCGGTGACTTTTGGTTCTAAATTTCACTTTAGTTAAAAATACATTGTCACAATATAAAGATGTTAACATAAGCAGTACTACCTTGAATGTTTAGTGTATTAAGACTAACTACTATTGCATTGATTAAAGTTTTAGTTGTCTGACACAGGCATTAGCTCATTACTCTGAGGCACTAATACTCCAGAATTTCAAATTTGATGATTTAAAAAACACCCAAACAATTACAACAAAAGGTAACCATCCCAGCAAAAAGGTCACAATTCATCGCGGAATTATTTTAGTTCTTCCCTCATCCAACATGACACCTTCCCCTTAATGCTTTTTTTCATCAAACTGTTTCAAAAATGATATTGTTTTTCAGAGTTTCAGTTTTACACAGGTTTTGTTTGACATAGAACACTCAGCACAAGTCTTGAGTGCTCCCAGAACTTTCTCTTAAGCAAAGTATTCCAGCAAATGGACTTATTTTTTCCCATAGTGCCTTATTGTTAAATCATACGTACAAGGAAAGGAGAAGCAATGCTTGAATTTCTGTGTGAGTTTACAGGGTGACTGGGTTTTAACCACACTGAGTAGAGGTTTTACCTATTGATCAATAGCCCGTGGATATGAAGATTCATTTCTATAGTTGTATCTCTAGAAGCTACTCACTTGGTGGAATGAGTTTACTTCAAACTGATAAAAGCATGCTTTAAACATGCAGAAAGTGAGAAAGGAAAGAGATGATCATCAAGTTACAACTGTACTTCACCACATTTGGTATAAAAGCCAACCTTACCCCTATAAGTGTGGAAGTACTGATGCATTTCTGACAGAACTAACAATCTTGTTTTACCTACCCCTGCTCAGCTGCAGAGCTGGTTTCTTCAGCTATGGTGTGGCTGGACTGCAGGTGATCTGAAAAACTGATCAAGTCAGCAACAGCTGGACTGGTCAACAGTTTCTGCTCCAGAGGATCTGTGGTTAATGGAAGGGTGCCACTCTGTAAACTATCTCCTGAGGTACTTTGCTTCAGGAAAAAGCTGAAGTTACAACATGAATGGGAGGGAGAAAAATACAAAGGTAAAGATATAAGCATAAAATCATAAACTTATTATTTTCTACATTCACTTTCCGAAGTAGCAAAAGAAGGAAGCACAACATTAAAAAGCTTGACAACACACCATAAATTTCATCCTGTTCCCAGCCCCGCAACTTATACAGGCAGAGTAAATTAACACATAGAGAGATTTGATTTGCAAAAGAAGACACCCTACACTGGACATAAACCATTACAAGTGAACTTAGTTTGTCATGGTTTCAAATCAGCAATAGTGTATTAATAGGTGACACATCACTGAAAATGGTTGCTTACTGTAATGAGACGTTACAGACTACATGATCATACACCATTCTAAGCACATGACAACACAAATGTGTCTTGCTTTGCTAAGTCTCTGAAGTACATACTCTACAGTTAATACAGATGTTCAATTTCTGCATTAGAGAACTAGTGGAACTTCTGTTTCATAGCAATAACCACTACAGTGAGAACTGGAACTTAAAATTAAGTTCCATTTTTCATAGTGCAACTAAAAGAGGTTAAAAACAGCAAGCAGAGAAGCTTGAACTGCAGAAACAATAAGGTAGAGCATCGGGAACCAAGTGCTCCTAACAAATTTGGTCTGGGAAAAATTCTTTGCTGATTTAAAAACCTCTTCCTATGCTTTTATAAAGTCCATAGGCTTTGTTTTAACATCAAAACAAAATGAAACCTGACTTAAAGCTTCCATACAGTTACACTTAAAAAGAAAATATGAAACAAAAAAGTGATAAAAAGGCAACCAGTTCTTTGGGTTTTGGCTGTTTAACAATGCAGCTCAATAGTTTACACAACTTATAATTTCCTTTAGTGCAATCATGACCGTTGAATAGGCAGTAACATTCTTGCTAACATCTAGATGGGGAAAGATATCAAAGATCTTCTTGTGAAAAAATACAACCATGCACAGGTACAAAGACAGAAATGGAGTATTAGTAAAATGCACTGACCTTGCAGAGCCACGAAGGTCTTTAAATTCAACATTAAGCAAAGGTAGGAAGGTACTTTTACAAAAAGGGCAGGTAGTGTTCAGGTTTGAGTCATCTGCTGTCCACCCAGCCATGATTTCTTCATCATAAACCAAAGCATCACAAGCTCTGCATTGAGAGCAGCTTGACATCAAGACCTAGAACAGCAAAGAATTAATATTATCAGGGCTCTTTTACAATTTTTATAGGCTTAGTACCCATAGAAGTTTAACAGGTACCAGAAGGCCAGTGGGGAGAAATGAGTTAATCACTTCTTTCCCACCATACTCAGAATTATCTCATCCACATTAACTTTTACCTATGAAATAAAGATATAAGTAATTTATTTCTGACATGGAAAAAGCATTACCCCAAAAGGCCACTAATTCAGCATTTGCAATTGCTTGCTTCTATGAAGATTTCAGCATATACAAATTGTTTTGAACTGTATAAGTAAATGCATGTCTACTTATCCAAAAGAGCAAAGAAATCCCACAAAACCAATCAAACACAGAAGAAACCTTTATAATAGTGTGGTGTGTTGACCCTGGCTGGATGCCAGGCGCTCACCAAAGCCACTCTAGCAATCTACCTATTCAAGTGAACAGGACAAGAAAAATATGACAAAAGGCTTGTGAGTCACAATAGGGACAAGGAGATCATTCATTAATTACTGTCACAATAAGGGAAACTAGGGGAAATTAATTTAATTTTCTACCAATTAGAAGTTCAAGTAGGTTAATGAGAAATTATCTCAAATTTTAAAACACGTTCCTGCTACCCCTCCCTTCTTCCCAGGCTTCACTTTAATTTCTGACTTCTCCATCTTCTTCTTTGAAATGGCACATGGAAATGGGGAAAGGGGATTGTGGTCAATTCATCCCATGTTTTTCTGACACTCCTCACACTCTTCCCCTGCTCCAGCATGGGGTCCCTCCCACAGGACATAGTCCTAACACAAACTTCTCCAGGGTAAGCCCTTCCCATGGGCTTCAGATCCTTACTAGTTGCTCCAGCATGGATCTCCTGCAGGCTCACAAGCCCTGCTCCAGCCCGGGCTCCTCTCCCCAAGAGGTCAAGGTGCTGCCAGGAGCACTGGCTCCTGTCTATAGGGTTAGCTTCCTTTGGGCACCCACCTGCTCCAGCACGGTGCAGACGGCTGCAGGGGCACAGCTGTCTCGCTGTGGTCTGCACCACAGGCTGCAGGGAATCTCTGCCCTGGGCCTGGAGCACCTCCTATTCCTCCTTCTGCACTGACCTGGGTATCTGCAGAGGGATTTCCTGTCTCGTGTTTTCACTCCTCTCCTGCAGCTGCTGTTGCACAGCATTCTTTTCCCCTTCTCAAGCACACTATGCCAGCATTGCTGCCACTCTCACTGCCTTGGCCAGTGGGGAGTCCAGTCTGGAGCTGGCTGGCATTGGCTCTGTCAGACACGGGGGAAAGTTCTGGCAGCTCTTCTGCTACCCAATCCTTGCCATGCAAACCCAGCACAAGTGGAAAATCAGAATGTTGTGTCCTTACCTAACAGAAGTCTCACCACTAAGCTAGACGGATAACTGGAGAAAAATGGTAAAATTAATCCTGGACTAACTGGAGAATGGACTATATACCTTACTCTATCCTTTTACATCATTGTTTCGGTCAGAGGGCCCCCAAAAACCCGCCTCAAACACAGCTTCCAATAAATTTTACAGCTAATAGATATTCATTATAATGAAATTTTTTACTTTGCTATATATACCCTTTATATAACACAGTGCAAAAGCTTGACAAGCCTAGATGTCCAGAACATTGAACATAAATGAAAATGACACAGGATCTAGCAAAATAACTGCAGCTGAAAGAAAAGCAACCAAGGTAAATGCAGTGATCATTGCCTATGTATCTGAAATCTGAAAGTATCTACAGGTAATAACTGAAATAGAGAACCATACTAAAACATAATTTAATTTGGCTGGGATAGAGTTAATTTTCTTGTGAGAATTCTCTGTAGTCCTGTGTTTCAGTCTTGTAACCAGCTCCATGTTAATTGATAACACTCCAATATTTTAGTTATTGCTGCATAGGGCTTTGAAGATCATCATGGACTTTTTTCATTAATTGCACAACTCAGCCAGCAGGCTGTGACAGGACACAGACAGGACAGCTGGCCTCAGCTGACCAAATGACACTGTGTAACATCAAGTTCAGAGATAAAACCCTGTGTTTTCCAAGGTAGCTCTTCCTTGAGGTGTCAGGGTGCTGACTGATCTCTGCATTATTATTTTCTTTTGATTGTGTCTCCCTGTTTTTTATTTTTCCCCCATAATTCATGTATTACATTGTCTTTATCTCAACTCTCAAGCTTTTTTCTTTTGCCATTTCAATTCTGTCCTCTATTTAAAGGGGATTAAGCAAATACCTGTGTGAGGGCCTTGGTGCTGGCTGCTGTCAACTCATCACAATTATTTAGTAACACAATTTTCATAAGGAAAATAAAATCTAAAAGCCCACAAAAACTCCTGTTTCACCTCTAACTTCTCCTTCATTTCAAGTTTTGACCCTTCCCTCAACAACTTTTTCTCTATATATATGATGAATGCATAGAAGTATTTCAGACACTCTTCTTTTTTAAAGCTGCTGTCACACTGCAAGCTACAAGTATTAAGCATTTCTGCAGTAGAAATCAGGAAAAAAATGTTTTGAAAAAAACTAACCACAATGCAACTAAACAGGTAATCAATGCATACAGTACCATTGACTAATTATAGCTTTCATCTATGAGTTTATTAATCTTACCTCCATTGCATAGTTCTGGAAAATGCTGGATAAACTAGTATTATGTGAAGAGCTGTGCTCTGATTTCTCAGAATCTAGAAGTTTCATACTTTTTGGGAATGAAACTTCACCTGTACAAAAAGAGTCATTTGAGTTTTGTTTTCAAGCAAAGAAAAATTAATCCATTCCCAAAGAAAATAACTTCTGTTAAACCAAGGCAAGAAAATTGTTCCAAAAGATCTCCAAAGATATGAGTATCTCACTGACATTACAATTACAATATAGATAATGTTCACGATTAACATTTCTATGTTATTATTCTAACACAATATATCACAGGTTAGTAAAAGAAAAACACAAAGAAAAAATAGACTGGTAAAGAGCAGTAAGATTGCTCAATGTATATTGACCAACTATAAAAAGTTGACTAGCCATGATTTCTTGAATAATATATCCATATGTAAACAGTAAATGTAAGGACAGCACCAGGTGAGGTGTATGATACCAAAAATGCCATTACTGCACATAGATTTTCCACTTTTAACACCGCACTAAACCAAATATTTTTTTATTGGTAATGCTAGATTTTATGATTATGAACCTTGTCCAGGACAAGGGGAAAAGGAGTTGGAATACATTCACTAGAAGGAAATGGATGGGATCACTCCTAGAAGGCAAAATTATCAGAATTATTTTTTTACAAGCCCAAATTTTTCTAAAGAAAAGAAATCATCACCAGTACCCTCTCATCATAAAGAAGTCTCCTGTGTTTTTTCAGCTCAAGATTATGTTTGTGAACAAATTTTGCATATCCTGTTGACTGCCACTCTTTATAGTTAGCTCTAATAACCCTCTTAACTAATTGGAACTAGAAGACATCTTGTCAAGATTTTGTGATATGGAGGCACTTTATCTCCACTATGCAAGACAGTTCTTCCTCTCTTGATATTTCTCTCTCTCTGTAAAGCAGACAGCTTTACCATATTTGCATCACTGAAGTATTTTATTACAAAGAGACCTAAACCAACCCCACAGCAGGTTCAGAAACACATCTTTTTTCTCAAAATAAGAATCAAATTTACCTGAATTAAATCTGAACTGAAAAGTATTAGATTTATTTTTCCAGTTTTACATCTGGCAGAGACGAGGGAAGGAAGGTTTGCAACAGGCTCACAGTCATCAACTATTTACCTACATAAGTTCAAATCAAGTATGTATCCAACAGATCCTATTCCATGGTAAAGATGGATAACTTTTAGCATGTATTGCTTTAGGTTTTTTGTGGGCATGAACTACAGGGTTGTTCTGTTGATTTGGTTTTGGTGGGTTTGCTTCTCTCCTCCCTCAAATGATCTGTCTCTGTTAGTTATGAAACTATTTGCAGTTGCCAAACTGCTCAGCTTTTCTGTACTAATATTTCACTATTAATACTTTCATGAGTTTACATGAATGAGCAGGTGTTTCTTGCTATAACTAGCTAGTAATCTTCCTATCACATACACAGGAAGTATTTTATGATTAAACTCCTGCATATTGTATCAGCTTTTTATACATTCAACAAAGAGAGAAGCATTAGCTACTTGCTACTGCAAGAGAACAGTATAGAATGGAAGTAAAAACTTGCTTGTAATACTCTGAAGGGCTTGAAATATTTTCACATTAACACAGCTTCCATTGTTTTGAGTGATTTCATACATAACAGTTTTCCCTGATTGTTGTATTATAATCAAATTATCAGAGGAAAATAAAACCAGATGATCTCACCTGCACTGTAATGCTGTCTTCCTACATCTCCACCACTGCTGCTACTACCAAGACTAGTAGTGCTTTGTGCAAGCTCATTTGTAAGTAGGCCTGAGACACCAGTTCTTGATGACAGATTGTCTCCTAAAATACTATCTTCAAAGCCCACAGGGAAGTTATAGTCTGGTCGATGGCTTTCTTCCTTTAATGCAAGAAGAAAAAGTAGCATTTTTGAGTACCTCCACTTCCATTTTTATCCTAAAGAATAAATAATTAAACTAGCAGATTAAGATAAATCTCATTGTAACAAAAATTACCAAATGTAAAATTAATCTTTGTAGCCTCAAAAAGATACTGGACAAAGCAGGAGGATATTGAAAAACTGACAAACTGAGTGACAAAACAATAGTGATATAAATGTATTCATTACAGACAGGAAAAATGATGCACACACATCATTTGAAGGCACAATAACAAGACATCACAAAAAAAAGACGAAGTTACAAAGATACAGAAGATATCTCTCTATATCTTCTTTCATTCTTGTCATTAGTATGTGAAATGTTTTACTCTGAAAAACACTCTGTTAGTCACAGAAGAACCATAACACTTAGTTTCCAAATTCCTGATAAGTAAATTTACTAGATCTCAGGCTGTACCTTATTACTTTCAACTTTGACCCTCACCAATCTGACTTCCTGGGTTTGTAATTTATTTTCACAACCGAGTTTTCTAAAGTAAGACAGGGCAATATGGCATCATTTAAGGTGACATAAATTTGTACTTTCCAGGGTTTCTTGGTTTGGTTTCTTTACATATAAATAAAAAGATTAATAAAGAAATGGGAGACTTTTGTTGAGAACAAAAAGCTAAAACTTACTGCACTGAGACCACCTAATTTCCTTTTGTCTGAAAGGTGAGAGTTTTTTTAATGGCAAGGAAAAACACCATAGATAAAGTGTAGTTTTATTAACTAATAAAAGTCAATACTTAATTAAAAAGTAAAAACCACCTAGAGAAGCAATCTTCTGGACATAGAAGTTAGCCCTCTAACTTTGCGTCCCCAAACTTTTCATACTGAAAAACACTTACCTCATCATCTGAGTAACTATATGCTGATGTTACCACTCCCCACATCTTACTGGCCACATTGGCAGCCTGCTTCATGCCTGATTTCAAAACATCAATTTTTGGTCCAGACAGTATATTGTCTAACTTCAGACTGGATAAAGTTGTTACGACAGTTCCCAGTGAGCCATGCGGGGAAGAACGAGCCAGTCCTGTCAAAGATGACGACCGCTCCTTTTGAACTTGTGGGTGAGTTTGTTGCTTTGATCGTACAGTGAATGTTTTGGATCTGCAGACAGAAGGACTTCTTCGACTTTCATAACACTTGGAGGATGGCAGGATGGGATCCAAGGGCAGGCTTGACCTTCGTTCTTGGGAGTGACCAAGTGTACCAGAAGCTTCTGCTTCCTTATCTGGCTTGTGCAGTTCCATGCTGGGAAACTTACTACCCAAGGGGTTCTTCAAATTCATATAGCTCTCTATTTCATCTGCCAAATTACGTGCTGCAACTGGTGACATCAACTTTTCCCCAGATTCTGGATAACCTGGTTGTGTGCTGTCAGTAGCTAGCAAAGACAGAGGGTCCAAGCCTACTTCAACATCTTCCCTTTCAATAGGCTTAACCACTCCATAAAAGCTATTTCTTTTAGCAGTTGCATCTTTGGATTCAGGTTTCTGGTTTTTAGACTCAGCTGATTGCTCAAGATTTAGGTCTTCCACTGTAGTCATGTTTCCATCTCTTCCATTCTCAAGATCCTCCTGTCCTTCCCCAGGTTCTTCCAGCACTGGTGAAGACCTATGTTCTAGGTCCCAATCACTCTGAGTCACACCACTCCAAGTGCCACTCATGTCAGAAACCTGCTGGTCAGTGATATTTTCAAAGCTGTGGGATTTAGGTGAAGTTTTGGTCCCAGATAAAGCTGCTGTTAAGATCTTGGCATCTGCTCCCATCATTATTGCTATTTCTTTAGAATGCAAGTCCAAGCTGCCTTTTTTCAGCAGCATTCCAGCTCTGCTTTCACTACTGAAACTGCAGCTTCTCTCTGAAAACAGTTTTTGTCTCTTCTGTCTTTTTTCACTTGTCTTCTTAGGAGAAACATCACCAAAGACTGAATCTTCAACTGAATCCTGAGTTATGAACAGTGGGCTAGAAACTGTTTCTGAAAGAGAAAATGCATTAATAATATGGTATCCATAGCCACCAAAAATGCTTATTTCCTGAAATGTGAAATCTCCTTAATCTCCTTACATAGAGAAGACTGGGAGTACTACAATTCCAATATATCCATTAAGAAGTTACACTAGCATGAACACGTTATTTCACTGCAAAGACATCCTGCATATCAAAAGCCACCTACTCTTTGGAATCAAAGCTGCTTATGGCTTCGACGTTCTTTCCCTGTGTGAACACCCAGAAAGTAAGTACTACATCCATGAACTAAAGGAAACTACAATTTAAAATAAAAGTTACTCTGGCTGGTTTTGGTTTTTTCCCCCCCCCAAGAGCTACATTCAAGATTTAAACACCAAACACAATAGTTCATTCTGGTTCTGAAAAAAACTATAATGTGTGTCTGGTCAATATAGATGCATTATTTAATTTATGACACAGATGTATATTTAGAAAATACTAATTAAGTTTAGCATGTGGAAGCCATAAACAAATCTTACAAATGTTCCTATTTCCTATGGGTAATTTGGAATATTTACTACCTAGATAGTTGTGTTAGCAAAGTAAAAATCTTCATAAGTATGGAAATTCTACTATATTAGGACCTCAAGAGAAGACGTGTTGCACCACATCCACCTGCTGGAGAATGCTTGAGTCTCACATAAATGCTGCTTCTTAGCTAGCCATGTGTTCTCATAATTGCCAAAATGTTCCAAGAAACTTCTTACCTGCGACTCTATTCTGTGCTATCAAGCTACCCTGAAGCTGGACTACCTTATCTTAGTAAAAAACAGACAGAAAGGCAGAAAAAAAAATTGATCCCCAAGATTTGGCTTTTATATATCCATAAATCTTTGTCATCACAAATCTTGAGATAAGTAAATAAATTTTGTATTGCACAAAGACAACACTCATTGTTCCTGCATTACAGAATGGCAATGTAAGCTGCAGGAATAGAGACAGACTTGTCCAAGATCAGCAAGGTTTAGATGACAAAATCAAGACTGGACACACTATTTCTCTTTGTTTCCTACTGTATTACTGAAACACTCTCAGTGCAGGGCAGGGAAAATCTTGATTTCAGTCTACAGAACAGTGATTTTCAACCTTAGAATCTAGAGGTTCCTTCTATGTTACCTGCACAGGGTAATGGTGGAAAGCAAACATTGTGCAAGACATCTGCACCTGGAAAGAAGTTCTATTTCTTTTCATAATATGAAACAGATTGCAAAACACTACAGCACAACAAGATCAGGACTTTAGCAAGCTCTGTTTCACCCAGTGACTCACCATCACTGCCCTTCCTTCCATTGCTATCAAAAATGCCTGATGGAACTTTCACAATACTGTTACCCCAAGCAGGTGGATCAGCTGGACTCAGAGTTTCTATATTCAGCTGTTGCTTTTCATAAGATTTTTCTGTAGAAATCTCTGCAAGAAAGAGAATGTGAACATTAGGAGATAGATAGATAGATATGGATATATAAAGTTAAGATTTAACTTAGTAATTATTTGCACTGGTACATAAAATATAAACTCCAACTGTCACCTTATGTAATAACAAACTAAAGGATCAGTCCTACTAGGTACTGAGCATTTCCTGGGAGCAATACTCAGAAAGGTTGCCAGCATTATGCAGAGAGTGCTTAGCTCTTCACAGCGTTATAGCATTTGCCAATTTCTCCCCATGGTATTTTTTCAACTAACCAAAGCATAATAAGAACAGCAGTTCACAGATTTTCATGCAGGGCAATTTGTTTAATGAGAGCTTTAAAAGCCCTAACTCACATAACAGATCTCATAACTCAGATATGAAACATATTCAGTAACGAAAACAACAAAATACAGAATAACTAAGGGCAAAATTTTAACAGAAGACAAGAGATGACCCTAAGGCTGTCTATAGCTGGGAAGAGTTTGTGAGAAAAAGTAGCACCTTTTATTAGGTCAACAGGTACAGCTAAAAAAATTATCAAGATTTCAAACAGATAAAAGAGAGAAATGGAATGTAAATTACTGCATACCCCAACATTTGTCCATTTTTTCCATCTATATTAAGTTGATCTAATAAAAGGCTATTTCTACCTATACACATTCCACTCCTATAATTTAGGACATAGAAGTAAAATAACTATATGAAATCTACCATATTCTGGGCACTGGAATACTATTAATTCAATACGCTGAGTATCTGTGGTATTCTAATGCATGAAACACATTTATTACCAAAAGCCTTCACCAACATAAACATGCATACTTAACCTCCTATTAAGTCTTCAAGGTTAGAAGAAATATCTTTCTCTACGTGTGTTTCAGTTGCAGGAAGACTATCCTCACCATCTCTCAAGAGTTCATCCTTGGATTTGTAACCCTGGTCTGACTGACCACCTGTTACAAGAAATACAAACACATGCTTCAAGTTTTCCCTTCCTAAATTTGTTTTCAATAAGAAAATAAAGCATCTGAAATTTATTTGTTTCACATGTTATCCCTCCAGAAAAGTTCATGTTAAGATCTCCAAAATGTCTAATTTGTGGAAAGACCTACTCAACTCAGTGATGATAACACCAGAGGTAATTCAGCTATACTAATCCAAATTTACTTTTCTAATTATACTAAATATGAGTTATTCGCCTAGGAGCACTATGGTGACTAACTATTTTTAATGCACTGTATCTGCTCTCCTTCCTTTCCTATCACATTAGCATGAAATATTTATCTGCTGGGTAGGCTAAATTCTCAAATGCATTAACAAAAGAAATTTAGACAAGCACAGCCATAATTGAGCAAGCTTCTAACAGTGAATACAGCCCTGGAAAAAACCTGTACTATAAACTGTGCTATATCTTTGCACTATATGCCAAAGTATAAATTGTAATAGAAAAAAAGTAAAACTACAAAGATTTTTTAAAAAGTCTGTTCCTCTGCTATACTAGTTAAGCTTGCCAGCTGTAACTCACTAAAAGCCCAAAAATTTACAGTAATCAAAGAAATCTGTCACATGAAAAAATACAGAAAGTCTCTTTTCTCTGTTTTTTTTTATCTGAAGTGCTGCTGCCTGTGCAAAAAGACAAAAATTCTACATGGACACATTTCACAGCAACATGTTAAACTGGATTGTTCATATACTTCAGAGCACCTACTAGCACTCATTACTGCAACAAAAAAGATCAAAGTAAGTTATTGAGTGTGAAAGGTTAGGAAGCTCCATAAAGGTGTTAGGAAGCTCCATAAAATTTGGGTGACAGATACCATTCATCTACCATACATATCACTGCTATTTATTTTACCAACAAATAACAACTATGTTAAAAAGAATTAAAAATTTGAGCAGCCATCAATTAATACATTTGGCTACTATATTAAAAACTTTTTATATAGAACATTGAGTTCTGACATTCGCAGGTGATTATTTTTTCCTCTGTCAGATTTTCAGTAATGTTAGTATCCCTGCCTTGAGCAGAAGTATCAATACCCCATCAATAAATGGGTGAATTACCTGCAGGAGTAACATTCAAGGGCAGAAATAATGCACACGTGCATCCAAGGCTTCACACCATAAGTCTGCACCCCACACCGTGATAGCCAAGGACAAATGCGGCACCCAAGAGACAGCAAAGAGCAAAAAGCAGAGCAACAAAGAGCAGAGAGAAGGGAAGTTCAGTAATCTAGGCAGACATATCAGATGAAGCACAGAGATCAGACTCAAAGTTCTCTTTACAGAAGGGCTCAAGATATTAAAAACACGAAGAGTGTGCAAGAATAATTTTGTGCATTAAGTTTTGAAGTACACACAGAAAGGAAGTTTAGTTGAAACTGCACAGGTAGGATGTGATCAGTACTGGAGCAGATAAGAAGAACCATGCATTTTGTCCTGTCATCCTAAATGATTAACTTCCTGTGCACTCTTTTTACTTCAGTTTGTCAGGAGGAGTGCACACCATGTTTAACATGGAGTTTTCCTCCAGCTTATCACCTGCCTTTCCATTCCCACGGTGTCTCCTGAAAACTGCATGACAAGGTTCTGACAATTTCTGTATGTATTTCAACGGTTAGCCACTACTATTAAGACACTTGAATACGGTGTTTAAAAGCATAGTTTTACCATAACCTAACATAACATACTAATTCCATTAATGCTAATTAGACCTTTCTGAAATATTATCAAGGAAAAACATTTTCAAGTGTTACCTTCAAATCACCTCACCAAACATCATTCTTTTCACAGAAAGATTTTACTGACATGGACTACCACTTCTGTGAATAAATGACAGCATGCAAAAATTAAACAGCCTCATATGTCAGAGGCTTCATACCTTTTTTGAAAGTTAACACAAAAAGCAGGGGTACGTGAGACCACAGCAAAACATTTCTTTTCATATAACAGTATTTCTACTATGGTACATTCTGAATTAAAGCATGATGTGAAGTAAAAGAGAAATGTTCAACAATAGTGTGCAGCAAAGTGTACTTTTTTATGCAAGTTAACTCCACACTTCTCTACAGCCTCAAGAAGGGAAAGTAGTAGTTGCAAAGGGGAAATCAACAGGAGACTAGAAAATTTAGCCTTTTGGGGAACTGTTAGTAGTAAACCCAGCAGAATCTAGTACCTGTGCTAAAGTGATTATCAACGGAATCAAGCCTGACTAAGTCACTGACGAAGAGGGTGTGCTCCCCACTGTTAGCATCATTAGAACTATCCACGCTACCATGGCTCACCATGTCCCCATCACTTCCACCCGTGGGACTCCGCAGAACTAAAGACATGAACAAGAGCTGGTTAGTAAGAGAGGACTTAATTATTCAGATTTTTAAATAAATCTAACCTCTTCAGACAATAGTAAACACTTCTGCTCAAACATATCAAATAAGAGTATGAAATTCTGGCAACAGAAATCAAGATAATTAATTCTTCAGTATGCAAAAGACATTCTAATCCTGTTATAAGCATCAAGTTGGCAAATGTCAATTTTTATACATTTAAGGACAGATTTTCCACTTTCAAAAGCCACAATGTTAGCTGCAATCCCTCTGAAAGTACATTATGCCCTTGTTCACCAGAAAAAAATCTATTTCAACTAACTTATTACCTGGTATCACAGGCACTTGTGGGATCTGCATTGATTTCTTCAGGCACTGCCTAAACTGCACTGTGCCATGAACTACATTTCGTACCTTTGTCCACAGGAATATGCCACTGCGGTTACCACTAGGCCAAGAAGACTCTAAAACCGCCTGCAGAAAGAGACATTTTGCAATAACAGAAAACAGTATGGAAGTTACATTAAAAAAACACAGTACGGTGAGAAGCTTCACCACTGCCACCAATAAAAAAAGCATTTAATGCCAACCATGTGAAGTAGAACAAAAACCTAAATTTTTATGAGCTCTTCCCTTTTATTCCACAGGTCAGTACAAAATAGTTGAGTATAACCAGACAATGGATCAAAATTACTTTAATTAAACAAGGTGGGTTTTGTTCTTATCTATGTATTTTGATAGTAACAGAAGACCATAGTAACATCTCCCTTCTTTTTCCTTTATATAGTTTACCATGAAGTGTCATCAGGAACTTGGAAGCAAGGAAAGAGAGGGAGGCTACTTCAACTTGCCTAATTCCAGCCTTCATCCATTCTGGATCTTGCTATCTTAAAGAATACACCTTAGAATAGATTTATTGGATGTGGAAGCACTAGATGGTTCCAAAATTTGCAAATGGAAACAGTGTAAATCTGTATTTCAATAGAATTTTTGGTTAGCCAAACAGCATGGGAATGTAAATTTAACATTGTAGAACCATTTCGTGTAGATTCAGACATTCTCTAAGCATGTCCAAAAGGATGGCTTGACTAACAGAATCAGCAAGTCCAAGTGAAGAGCTGCAAGAAACAACCTTAAAAACATGCTACCGGACATTGGGAGTGACAACTGCAAAAGGCACTGGACCCTTACCTTATTGTAATAACCATAGGTGATGGCATTTGGCTGTATTCCAGCATTTTTCATTTCAAAAAGAACTCTCACAGCCTGAACAGGCTGACCCCACAGTCCACAGAGCTGCATTACTACTCTGTAACAGACCTGACAAGATACAGAAATGTGTAAATGGACTAAAGACGAGAATTTTGAAGTGTCTTAAGCTCTTTCCTGATTTACAACTTTTACACATGTAAAAGGAAAAACTAAGAACAATTAGTTAGTCCATTACATGCTACAGCCAGAAGAGGGAGCAAAAATTAAAGAGCAAGTCACAGAAACAGAAATTACATCAACAGTCACTGTTGACCATGTAAATTTTTTTTTTCCACTCAGGTCTGCTGTTTGAGAAATAAAGGAGATAAGGTGTCCACATGAAAAGCATGACAACTTGCTGCTGTGTGCCAGGGGATACTACTGAAAGAATTGTATGCTGCACATAAACCTATCATCCTTTCAGTGCAGTAAGGCTGCAAAGCACTAATTAAAGTGCAATAAAAACCAAGGATATTCAATAACTTCCCTCTGGAAGTCATCTGTGAGAAGACTAGCAACACTGAGTTGGAGTAGACCCAGCATACACTATACTGGGGATAAAAAAGGGACTTAATTTCCAGTTGCTGTAGTTAATTTCCAGTTGCTGACTTGAGATGATTTTAAGGTGGCTTTAAACACAGATCTAACCATAACTATGCTTAACCTGGTGGTGTCAGCAAAACACACTGTGGTTGCACCTTGTCTTCTATTTCACAGTCATGGTAACTTTTTGATTTGCACTTGCCTCATCTAGTGGTTCCACTTCAGTTTTCCTCATTTTAATCAGAACATCATATGCCTGTTGCAGTGCTTTGACCTTGGGATGTGCAACTCTGACATAGGCTGGCAGGCAAATAAACCATAGGCTGTAACTGTGACTGAAGAGACACTTAGCCCACTGGGAGGGGCTTACATAATATTTCTTGGCTAATTTATGGGCTGTTTTTATCTCCTGCAAGGGTGAAACAAAACACAAAATCAGATAAAAGACATAAGATCTTGAATCTAGAAATCTAACTCAGATGCTGGCTTCTGAGCATTTAATAAAAATAGACACACATTCAGCTGAAGATCCCTTTTTACCATTCTCTTACTAAGACGCTCTGCAAACAAACTCTTGCATCAGGATCAATCTTTTTTTCCCACATTAAGCATTGATTTCAATTTAATTTTATATTACAGTCTAAATCTTAAAAATGCATTTGACAATAAACTGTAATCTGAGATGCTAATTTTTTAATCTCTTCTGTTTCTTTTATTTGTAAGTTACAGAGACCAAATCTCTAACTTATAGTATAAACAGGCAGTGGCAGTTTTACCAAGAAAATTTGTATCTTTCAGTGATCACACAGTGATTACAGTGAGACTCATCTGACCTGTTTTGTCCTCTTTGCCATGAGTGCTGGACTATTTGAAATGCTGTTTCCAGCTGGGTGTCTGCTGAAGGAGAGCTTGAGCTCCTGTGGCCTGTCAAAGAGCTTGAAATCTAGCCGCGGGAAGTTTTTATAGCTATATGGATAATTTAAAAAAAAGAAAATAAAAGTTTTTCACATACCTGCTCATAGCAGGAAAGCCATACAAAGACAACTGATATGGGGAAAAATGATAAACAGGAGAATACAGAACCAGGAGAAATATAAAACAGCAAGATACTTTTAGCCTTATTCACAAATATACTACAAGAAGATGCCTTGGACATTAGGCCCCCAAAGACAATGGAAATAAGAACCAGACTGCTAACCATGTCATGAAGGTCAGGAGAGCACAGATGGTGATTAACAAGGACAACAGCAAAAACCAGAACACTCATGATCCCATGATCAAGAGAGACAGGAAGAAATAAATTGTACCCAGTGTGTCTGAAACTCCACACTTCTTGTACAGGGCTGAAAAAGACTTAATGCAAGAAATCTGAAAAGCGGAGTGCATGTTTTGCTTTTTTGGTTCACCATCTGTAGATCAATAGTACTCGGTAGAGTCATAGCCCACCCTTCATCATTCCCAACATGGAACAAAGAGCACTGCACTTGCTACAAAATACACACAAATGGTTCAAACAGGACACTGAACACATGCAGAAAAGTATTACTATAATGGTGGCAAGAAGTTATTGAAAAATTAATACCATATTCCACATGCCCTCACAAATACATGCCCAGAACACTGACTTCTAGAGGTTCAGAAACTTACCAGATTCTGGGCAGTTCATATCTTTCAAAGAGTTCTTCTGAATGCTGTCTTAAGGCAAGTCTTGCACCAGCACAGAACATCTGCCCTGCTAACCATCACAGACACCCTAGTTTCACTCTATGTGACTGTTTAACTTGTACCTGTATTTTGGTACTCGGTCCTGTCCATCATCAGCTGGTGGTTCTGGTGGCATTATGAACACTGTGTGTTCACTTTTTTGTGACTCATCAAGCTCAATCAAGCGTGTATCTTCAACAGAATCTACATCAACCTGAAAACAGAGTTTGGACATTAAGCACAGAGTTTATCTTTGTAACAAAATGTCCTTTACAATGTCAATTATGTTGGAATATGTAAAAATATATATTTAATATACACTGTATTTGTATATAAATTATACTTGTTCTAATTAGTCAAATATCAAGTCCACAGCCTTATATTTGCATTTTTATTTCATGATCAGATATTCCTAAACATTTTCAAGGGCAAAAGTACCTTCTCTCCTTTTTCCATTCCTTTATCTGGAAAGAGCTGGGAAAAGAAAAAAAAGATTAAGAGTTTCTTCTCAATTCAAAATCAAAATCCTAAATAATTATATTAAACCTGTGCTACTTGCTGAAATATTAAAGAAGAAATGGCAATTTTCCATATAACTATAGAAGCAATTCACCTCTTTTTCAAATACTTCAGTGAAGAATCAGCAGTAATCAGTAATTCAGTAATCAGCATACTTTCAATCTGCTGACATTATCTACTGAATACAAAACCCTTAATCTATCAAAGGAAAACTGCTTTCATTTTATTTAGTTGAGAGAAATTCCTGTTTCGCAGCTTTTTCCAATATGACAACCTGCAGTAATAAATTATTAACAAAGTATTCTCTAGATGCATACCCCACATTTAGCAGAGAAAAGGAAAGGCAAATAAACTTTTGCCCATTCACAAATATTAATCTAATTAGAATCAATATTAAATCAAAGACTCACAGTCTATAAAAACTTGTTAATTTGAAGGCTCAAAAACTTATTAATATGAAGGCTCTCCCAAAAAGAATCATGTACATATGCCTTAAAAAAAATACAATTCTATAGCTTGTAACTTTAATATTGTAAGCTTGGAATTGCAGAGATGAAGCTATAAACTCCATTACCTACCTAGACCAAAACTATACTGGATGTGACTACAATAAAAAAATAAAAAGGAAAAAAAGGAGCAATCTTTCTCCTAAAACATGCATGTAATGAAAAAACTACATAAACCAGTCCTGACCACATCTGAAACACTAGGCATGTTTAAAGTTGAAATTGTGGGAAAAACTACAATGATATTTTTGGTCATGGCAGATGACCACTGGTAGTAATTCTACATTAGAGAGAGGAAATGGATGGTATTTTCCTGAAGTGTCAGCTACTAGCAATTCTCACATTATCTTATACATTGAAATCCTACAGGCCTTTAATTAAAATTTTCTCCAAGAACACGGGAATTATGACCACACAAGAAGATGAAGAAAGGAAAAAGCAATAACCACCAAGAATTCCAATCCTTTTGAATACTCCCTGAGGAAGTTATGTACCTTCCCAACTAAAGGACAGGACAGTAACACAAAGTAAACAGAAGAATATTATGTAGTAGTATATTTTTCACCTTTTCTATGCAGTCATCAAAAAATGCCAAGCCAGTATCCTTGTCACTCACAAAACTGCACTCTTCAATAAAGCGGCTGAATATCTGTGTCTTGGTGAGATGCGTGTAAAACTTTGTATAGGCCCGGTCTCTGCTTTTTAAAAATCCTGGTAATAAAAGGGAACACACAACTAAATACCAGTTAAAGTTCCGTAAGAAATTAATACATGAAATGAGTTAATAAACATAAATCACATAAATCAATAATCAATATAAATTACTGAAGAGGCTAATACATAAGTATTTGCTTTATCAATAACAACTACTTATATCTATTTGCATTTGGAAGATTAAAATTAACAGCATTTTTAATAGCTTTTTTTTTTTTACATCCTTGGCCACCAGTCACACCCATGTAATCCTTTCTCACTCTGTTTGTTGATTCATTGCGCAAAAAAAAGATTACCTTGTATAAAAGCATCCAACAGCTAAAACAATACTAAAATAAAAATTACGTTATTCTAAAAGGTGATGGGCTTGATAAAATTGAAAACTCTAGAAATGATTACCTAAAAATCTCTTCTCAAATATCTTACCCAGTAATTTTAAAAAAATCAACAACCCCAAAAGAAGAAACAAGACCCAAAACACCACCACAGACAAAACTCCTGTGACATTTTATGTAGCATCTGACTCATGAACAGATCTGAATAGTTAACAGCGATAAGGGAAGTGACATTTGCCAACTATCATTTATTGCTTGCCATATTTCGGATTTCTGCCCCATTTTCTACTATTTTTCCATTTCTATCAAGATCATTACTGAGCTTTTAGCATTTTTGTGTCATACAAGCTGAGAAATATTTTTTAATTCCCAAGAGATGCCCTTGCAGAATATGCCATGATGAGAGGGAACCATGCTACTAAAAAAAAGCTTTTTCTAATACTGGATCTAGTGCAAACCTGCAGTCCTATATGTATGTATCTGTGTTCCAATCAACTCTGAATAGCTTAACTTTAGACAACTGCAATTTTAAATATTGCCAAGAACTGTACAACCAAAGGGAACTTTGACCTTTTAAAGTTATGCAGCTCTTCAGCTCTGAAGTTGTAACACTGCCAATGCTATCAGCAGCTTGTTTGCCTCACCCTCACCTTGATGATCAAACAATGAATCAGCAGCAGTTGCTTTATTTGAAGGTGCCTGTGTGATTGGCTTGAGGAATGTTCTGTAACCCTTCAAAATAGATGCCATGAAACGGAGAAATGCTTCCTGGATCAACATCTCAAGTTCTATCATCTTCTTATGCCAGGAGAAATCTGCCTCTATAGGAGTCATTTCCACTGCAGAGCCTTCTTGAGTCTTCCTGTGAACTAGCAATGAGCAACACATACAAGCCTTTAATAAAAATTCACTGCATTAAAAATTTTGTTTCTATTTGCCCATGTTCATAAGTGATAAGCACTAGAAATCCCGTGATTATTTTCCAGTTGAATGGGTTGACATTAAAGGTTACCTCAAAAGTGTATTTTCCTAACTCATGTAGCAGTCTGTGACACAAAACAAGGATGTCAGCTCAGTTAATGTTACTTCATACTCAACTGAATATAGTCTTTAAATATAAACACAAAGCACCATGTGTGGTAGTTTTTTACATTCCCTGCCCCAGCCAAGCTTCTTTTGGGCTGCTTTACAACCTCCAGTTTCCTCAGGCATTCTCTCTAGGCCTTGGCCTTGAATAATGGCTTCTGAGCAGTTCAGGTCTCCTTCAGCTCACCAGAAACATTGGCTGTTCTCAGGAACTACTGCTGCTTAAAGAACAGTTCTTACCTAATGGATAGTCTTGGAACACTATTTGACTGAATCATAGCTTAAACAGATTATTATTATAATAATAATAATTATTATTATTACTACTACTACTGGACTTTTTAGGAAAATTCCAGTAGTTTTCAGTCCACAGGATGAAGACTGACAGATGACTGAAGATATTAATTTTCTGACACTATGAAGATTAGTCCTAAGCCAGGTCCTCTTAGTTCTCCTGGGCAGCCGTGACTGTACCAGCACCTAATTCTCAGTGGGACCTCTCTGAGCCCACCAGCTCTCTAGTTTGCCGTGCCATACTCTGAGGACCATGGCTGAAACCTGCTGACAGCGTCTGGGCTATCCCCTCCAGTACTGGGTACCACCCAATCCTCAAAGCTCAACCTGTCACCCCTTGAGTGTTGTCAAGGGATGGGATTACCTCACTGAACTCAAAGTGAATTTTCAACAAGTACATACACATTTGCATACAATTCTTTGGGTCTGTGTGCATGTGCGTGTCAACGGATTTAAACACACAATGGCAAGTACAGTGTCAATATTTCCATCTCAGATCTGTAATGAAGTTACTGTGGTGCTTACAGTAAATCTTCTTAAATCACTTTGTAAATGTTATATCAGTCAAGGACTAAGTGGTGCTAAATCCTTTAGACAAACCTGGGGCTTAGTTTGGATTTGGCCCCTTGGTCTAAGGCTGACTTTGGATTCAGTTGCACCTAGGCTCCATCAGGAATTTAGAAAGCAAGTGGGTCCTCTCTGACTCTTGAGGACCTCTTTACTCTACAGAAGTGCCTCCCCTAGCTGTTTATACCCTTGCACCTTTGCATTTCCAGACTTTGTTAAAATCATTCTACCTTGATTCTAATCTGATTTTTCTTTTGTTCGTCATCAGTGATAGAGAGAATCTTGCTACTGAACTTTGTTGTGCTTTTGCAAATTCATATGAAGCCCGCTTTTGCCAATAGCTTTGCCGCTGATTCTTTAAGTGACCTAAACCGCTCATTTATTACACCATGTTTTTCCTGTTCTGAAGAATACACATCTAAAACTACTTTTCTAATATCAATCCTAACATTTTAGTGCACCAAATGGTGAAAATAAGTAAGTGACATCTAGAGTTTACTCTTGCATTCTTAAAAAACCAGCAGCAGGTATTGCTGAAAATAACAGTTCCACACTTGTAACAAAAATATCAGTTATAATAATAAAATATCTCTACATAAATATAAATAAATATTACAACACAGCTATTATAATATTGTCAAAATAGAAAAAATATTTAACAGAGACCACTGGTTGTGCTCAAGACAGAATTAGGAAGTAATTCCTAATGAATGATATGCACTGCTGATAAACGTAAAAGTTAAGATTTTCTAACAGATGAAGTAAAGGCTATTTGAAAAAAAAATCATAGAAAACTAAGGCAGGAACACCTATCTCTTAATTAATATAATTTTTTGCTTTTGTCATTTATGAATTTTCTGTATCTTAGGTACACCTATGAGGTCATTATAGTTTCCTTCCCCATAACAATATAACTTTACATACCCTGAACCATCTTACCTGAAAGAATCTATTTTCAGTTAGAAAGAAACAATACCTGAAAACTGTTACCAGTTAGAATTTTGATCTTCTCTGTCAAAGACATCAGACTGAATACAGCCAGTCGTTATTTTTCTTTTGACAAAACCATTTGCCAAAAATTAGCCTCTCTGTTATTGTGGTAGAAAAGTCATTATCTAAGCTATTCACAAGCACTGGACCCCGGCAACTACCATCCCATCAGCCTCCCTTCTGTGCCTGGGAAGATCATGGAATAGATCGTCCTAGAAGCTGTGCTAAGGCACAGGGAGAACAGGGAGGTGACTTGAGACAATAGCACAGTTTCACCAAGAGCAAGTCCTGCCTGCCCAACCCAGTAACCGTCTGTGATGGAGTGACTACATCAGTGGGCAAGGGAAGGGCTAGAGATCTCTAGAACTGTGTAAAGCCTTTGACATAGACCCCCACAACATCTTATCTCTAAACTGGAGACAGATGGATTTGACAGGTGGAGTGCTAGATAGAGATGAAATTGGTTAGTCCCATCCAGAGGTTAGTGGTGAATGGTTTAGATCCCTGATGGACATCAGTGGCGTCCCTCAGGCGTCCATATCAGGGCCTGTGTTGTTTATTATCAATAACACAGACAAAGGGATCGAGTGCACCCGCAGCAAGTTTGAAGACGACATCAAGCTGAGTGATGCTGTTGACATGCCTGAGGAATGGGATGCCATCCAGAGGGACTTGAACAAACTCAGGAACTGAGCCCATGGAAATCTCATAAGTTTTAACAAGACCAAGTGCAAGATGATGCACCCTGAGGTAGGCAAACCCCCAGTACCAGCACAGGCTGGCGTCTCTGAAAAGATCTCTGCCAAGGACCTGAGGGTGCTGCTGGATGAGAGGCTGGACACGACCATGACTAAAGAACAAAAAAGAGATTCAATTCTAAGAATTCACATTTAAAGAGTCTAAACAAAAAAATCACACTGCATGTGATAGGAGGAAATCATTACATTTATATACTACTCAGAAGTTCTTATTGTATCTATTTCACCTGCTGCAAGCTGTTGGTGCAGTTTCTTTAAGGTGCTGAGAAGACTTTTACATGGCTTTTTAGGGAACTGCTTCCAGTTGGTGTTCTTCTTATCATCTGATCTAAAGCACAGGAGAGATAAAAAAGGACATATAAAATAGAGACAATATAAAAAAAGAATAATGTGAACAGCTTTAAGTTGCTTCATTTACAGAAGATGGTACCTTAAAATTATTTTGAAATCTTGTCACTGTACCTATTTGTTAAAAATAAAAACTGGGACTTACATAACACAGAATTTTATTTATTCAGATACACAACAGTATAAAGTGAGTAATGAGTAGAGTTTCCTCCAGTCTGCAAGGAGATCTGCCTTCAGATTAATTTAGACTCTATAGATGATTTATCTTTCAGATTTTTTATCAGCCTTGCCAATATTATTGAAGCATATTCTTCTGTATGTGATTATTATACAAAATCTAGACTAGTCTGCCATTTCTAGACTATGCCAGTCCATAGACCGGCCACACTACTGCTCCTTCAAATAAAGGCAGTTCTGAGTACTACATGTTACTGAAAGAAGCCAGATCAGTCTGACAACTTGATGATAATATGGAACTTTGCTATATGTCTATGGCAACCCAGTTCCATCTTCACAGTCTAACAGGTACTGGAAAGAATGGGAATTCAGTTCACAGCTGGAAAATTATGTGGTTGATTAAGCAGTGGGGTAAACTGCTTAAAGGGATGCTCATCTACTTTATGGACAACAACAGATAAAATATAAATAAAATGAAGGGAATAAATCCCAAGAACTCCTATGCCTCTTTCTGGAAGGTAGAAGATGGGAGAGAATTGCTGTTACAGAGAATATAACAAACCTCTTTGCCCTGAAACCTAACCACTTATTACTACCCAAGCTGATACTGGGACTAGTTGTTTTTTCACTTTGCATCTATGAAATATTTGTTCCATTATTATTTGCTTTATTGGCATGAACAGAAATATCTTAGAAAGGAAGCCGAAGTTCATGCAGTTGAAGAAAAAATTTCATCCTTTTGGATGCCTTTGCCCATTCTTCCCCCACAATAATGGCATGCTTATAAACAATATAAGTAGTACCATTCAAAAAGTGACAGGAAAAAAGTCCGGCTTAGAAAATAAAACAAACTTTCAAATCTTTGCCCTAAAAAGGCTAGCCAACATTGAAGGCTCATTAAGTATCACAGAGAGAGTTAAAAAAATTAAAATTAATAAGGAAGATGCTGAATGAATAAAATATATTTTTACTTATTTTTAAATTACTTTATTTTATTTTAGATATTTAGGTATTTTATTTATTATTTATTTTGACTAAAAGGCATTTAGTATTTTTTGGTACAGCTTAAGAAAGCAGCATACTTGCTCTAGAAATTGATTTTTCTATTAAGCAGTCTTTCCAAGTCAGCAACAGTGCTATTAAATGCTTTTACACCTAAACAAGCAAACAAATAAATCAAGCACTACTGCATTGCCATAGAACTAAAAAGGGCCAGAAACTGATGTGGATTAAATCAAATGAAAAAAAATCTTTATTCAGTAACAACACACTATTTTCATAATTCTATATTATTTTCAACACAAAGTGCTTTATGGAGATTTGGGCTTACTTACACACCTCAAAAACTGAAGGATACATTCATTGCCAGGTTAAAAATGCTTTATAATGCAGCTACCAATACCTCACATTTACCAAAGTCAAAAGTTACAGATGCCAAACTCCTCTGGAAGTCAAATATCTATAGATAAGATTAATAAAAAATGGGCAGCAAAACCAGAAGAGATAAATTCACTACTGAAAGAGAAATGGGCTTATAAGACAGTAAAAGAAAGGGTGGGAAAGCCTTTCCAGCTGACTGCCTCATAAGAGGTCAGCCACTAGTAGATTTTTAGTTCAACAACCAATCCAAATAATGTTGGTACTTGGTCTTTCTAACAGTCCTAAAGCATCTTGATATCCCTAACTCCCTGCAAATTCTCCTGGTTTCATCTCTATTTTTCTGCTACACAATCCTCAATTTCCATTCTACTTATGAACAAAAATACTGAGGTACTTTTCCCTGCAAGTATCTTCCAATGATTAAGTTATCTGTCATGACTTTATTCAATACATTCTTCTTTCACAATACCTACAATTATTCTCTTGGTGGCATAATACTTCGTTGTAAACTGATGAAAATTATTTTTGAAGTGTTTTTCATGGAGAGTTAGGGGAAGGAGAAAAAAACACCAGACAGAAAAAACAAACACAATTTGTTTCATTGTTTACCATTTCCTGTGATGCTACTAACAAAAAAATGAATGTCAGTAATTTAAAGGAAACATTGGCATCAGTAGAGGAAGGGTCCTTCTGAGACAGTAAAAATCCAGTAAGTATTTTACTGTTCCACTGGTCAAATTACTAACTCTAACTCAAGTGAGTAAAAAAAAAGTCAAGAGTTAAAAAATTACATGGTAAGTAAAACAAAATTTGCACAAAGATGTGCACTTGAATTAGTGATGGTCACCCTCATCTTGAACTAGCTTGTATCCATTATTTCTATTTATGTTCTAGTTAAAAATGGAAAAGTAGTTACTAATACTGAGAAAAAACCAATTTTTCCTTTCTGTTATTTGTACTCACATTATAGAAACCCAGAAGAATTATTCTGGATTAGCTTCTCCTCAAGAAGGTGCAAAGAAACTGTTCAAAGAATACTTCAATTTAAGAAAAGTACTATATTACAATACAATAATTAAGTTAAAATACTTTTGAATTAATGTAGTGAGACACCAAATTTTGCTTGATTGGTCTCACAAAAAACATGGTCCTTGTAACTTCAGAAAAATTTCTTTATGAACACTAATATAAAGTAGCCCAAGTTCAAGATAGTGTCAAGAATTATTATGAAAGATTTGGAAGCATTCATATTCATCTAGGTTGCTTTAAGATGATCAAGTCCGACCACCTAAATAACACTGTCATGACTACCACAAAACCATGTCCACCACTAAAACAAGCAATGCATCTGTATGTCTTTTAAATACCCTCTAGGGCTAGTGATTCAGTCACTTCTCTGAGCAGTCAAATCCAATGCCTGACCACAAGTGAACAAAGTTTTCCTACTATCTAATCTAAAGCTCCTGTGGTGCAACTTGAGGCCATTTCCTTTAGTCTTGCTGCTTATTACCTGGGACAAGAGACTGACCTCCACCTGGCTACAGCCTCCCTTCAGGCAGTTGTAGGGAGTGGTAAGGTCTTCCTCAGGATCCTTTTCTACACACTACACAACCTCAGATCCCTCATATGCTCCCCACACTCCTTGTGTTTCAGACCCTTCACCACCTTCTCTGGACATGCTCCAACACCTCAGTGTCCTTCTTGTGAAGTGCTCAGAACTGAACACAGCATTTGAGACATGGCCTCAGCAGCACCCAGTACAGGGGGAAAATCCTTTCCCTAGTTACTTACCATTGTTACTCCATTTATAGCAAGATCACACTTCCTATAAAAATGTGATGCAGAAGTGTTGATCCTTGACTTACTAAGTTTTTATTTACTTATAGCTTTAGAAATGAGAGGGAAAAAAAAGGGACAGTAAGAAACAAACCATGTTGGATCAAACAGTGCTTAACAATTTTTTCTCCTGAGCACTTCAGCAATCTCTTCATCTACAAAAAAATGTAAAATCTCCATAGAACTTACATGTAGACCATGTTTGTGTCTAAGTCAATGCACACAATATCCTGTGGTGGATCGTACAGATCAAAGTATCGTGAATCAACTCCAACAATAAATGGAAGAGGTGCACTGAGTACGGTGGCCAGAGACAAAGGACAGAGGGGGATATATGGACATTGCCACTGAAATGGAAATATCATCTGAAGGAAAAATTAAATTAAATAAATGCATTAAAAAAAGACAACAGATACTGTACAAGAAAAAACAAGAAGTTACTTGCAGCACATTGAAATGAAATTACTAAAAGCTTTGTAACACTATCAGAAAAAGGTCCCCAAGTTTGTTACTTTAATACATTATAACTCTCAGCTATGCAAAAATCATGATCTCTAAGAGTTACTAGATAGAGCAATTGAACTAAATGCTGTTGTTATGACCATTTAATACATCAGTAATTTTAATTTAAAGCCTTGTTACAATTGTGATGTTTAAATCAATTTCTCTTACTGCAGTACAGAACACTTTGTACTTACAGCTACGACAGCTTCAGCCACTCCTGTCAACACAGCCGGTCTAAGGGAATGGAGGAGGATCTTGCCTTCTAGTAATACAAAGAGTAACAGAGTGGCACAGTTTTCTGGTCCAAGATTCATGAGTAGAGTGCTAAAGTTTGCTCCACTAAGGAGTGGATGGGAAAGGAGAAGAAAAGAAAAATATTATAGAGTTTAAAAAAAATTCACTACTATCAAATTTTCTGACAACTGCCAGTGTTTGGGATCAACTAGTTGAATGGTGCTAATACACATCAAACACCTACCTATCTAACTAATAGATATGACATAATTTTAAGGCTTGTACCACCCGAAAGAAACCTAAATTTAAATTCTATTGCTAAAGAAACATACACTAAACCATGATACTGCTAAATTTGCATTGTTTACAGCACTCTCTCTCAGACATGCACTCACATCTTGTCATCACACCAACAAAGCAAAGCTAATTGCTAATTCAAACGAAAATAACACCAGGAGTTTCATATGATCAGTTATCTCACACAAGAATCATGAACTAGAGTATCCATTTGATCTTAGAATCACAGCATCAAATTCCTGTGTGAGTCAAAATTAATCCATCATTCTCTTGGAGACACACTTTTATTTTCTGTGGTTTAGCCTCCAATCAATTTGTTGAGACTGTATGCATTTAGGAATTGCACTGACATCTATGAGTACATGGGTGTAAAATCTGTCCTTAAAAAGGTTCTTACATGTTGTTCAACGATTTAGTGCCTGGATGCAATTTTTTATCCAAATGCTTGTGTAACAAATATGATTAAAGATGGGATTCTGCATAAGGAATATTATATGATAATGTTATCATCATATGAGGTTATCATCATATAATCATATGATTGTATGATAATGTTAGAATATTATATGATAATGGCTGGAGAGAATAAAAAGGGAGAAGATTTTGGTTTTTAACATGAAGACAAAGATGAACAGAAGTGTTAAAATAAAACCACGTGTCACAATCATAGGGAGGTCTAACCCTGAAGATGCAGGAAGCATCCACAGACACTGCATCAACCTTCAAGCACAAATAGTAATTTGGAGGCATACCCTTGAATTCCCAAAATGTTTGCACACTTGTGCAAACATGGATTTCACCTAACGGCTTGATGTTATTGTCTCTCTTGGATCCAAAAAGGAGAAAAAAGCAAGATAGCAGTCTCTATGCTATTAAATTTTGCTTACTATATTGGTTCTGAAAATACAAGATCTTTAAATATGGGTACTTTTCTCTCCTCACAAATGCCTTATTATTCCTTTAGAGTTCCTGCAATAATCTGGGAATTCATCTTTATTTCAGGGTAATTAGTGATCTTATACTTCCACAAGGGGCACATGTATGTCAAGACAAGACTGCGTAACATTATAAACACATATTGAGCTTCCTGTTTATAATACCTCATGATATTGCACTAATATTTGACTTTCTTCTATGATTAACTCCTGCTTGCCTCTGATTTTTTCAAGTAGCATACATTTAAAGCATTAATTATGATACCTTAATGGCAATGGTGTAGAAACTGGCTGTGACAATATTAATGCATCATGGGCAGAAAGCTGAAACACATAAAGTAATATGTGATTGACAAGAACAACCCCAAAGTTAATACAGTACAACATTCCAGTATAAATATATATCCATAGTCTCATAAACTGCCTGGCATACAGACACAGTGACTTTGGGACTCGAGTTCACTAATATGAACAGAGCTCATATTAGTCACCGAAAGAATTCTGAGAATTACAGGAAATCGTCTGTGACTCAGTGTTGAGCATGTAACTGCTGCTGGGTGACTAAACAGAGAAGCACAAGAGACAGCACCCCAGGGGACTAACCTCTGCCCCACAGCAGTGGGTGGACAAATGAGGGGAAGACAGAAAACAACCCTACCACTGAGGTAATGCAAACGGTGCCTATAAAATGAAAGCATAATACTTGGCAGATATTTCAAAAGTGCAAGTAGGACACTTCTGCCATCTACACCACCTGAAGTATGAAAGAGTTTGTTTCCTTTGCTAAGTTGTCCTAGGATTTTATCAATGTGAGAGAAGGCCAGCCCATCCACCCCCTCCCCTTTCTCTTCCAGGAGGTATGAATTCAAACCCAAGTAAAAAAAATAAAGAAAGAAACCAAAGGAAAGAGGAGGTTTGCTGTTGCTGCAGCTTAAAATGAATGAAAATTGTTGCTTACCTGCACAAGAATCCTTGGCCTTTGTGGTGAAGGGAAAGGTATATTGTGCATAAAATGGGATATATGCCTGCAAAGAAGACAAGATACTAGATAAACAGCACCAGGGTGTAATGAAGGGCTGAAAAAAATGTTAACTAAATTTTAGAATTAATATAGTAGCATTTTTTAGAAAGACTTTTAAGATTTATTTACTCTTTTCAAAAGTCCAAGAGTCTGTTTATGCAAGCCAAAATGAAGAAGCATTCACTCAATTGCATGTCTGAAAATTAATACTAGTAGCTTCAGATATGTAAGCAAAAGATAAGAACATACTGGCATTTAGGCAGGCCACTTCAAATCCCAGGCAGCCTAACCCTGTTCTCCAGTTTCTAAAGAGATTCTGCTAAGAGAAAGTATTTTGTTGGATATCTTAACATCTATCTTACTTGAATGTAACATAATTTTCCAACAAACTTTCAGGACCATGACAAGCATCCTCTGCAGAGTTTGCACGCATAATCATAGACATGAATTAGCAGTAATGCTTGGAAACAAACATAGATATTCACCACTGATGTACAGCATTACTGAGCTTACATTTACTAAGCTAAAACACAGAACTGGAAATATAGCATGTATCACAGCACAGACTGTTCTAGGCTTGATGTAGCTAAAAGAAAGGTAAACAGGCTTGACATACTCTAAAAAAGACCTAGACTAAAATCCAGTTAGCTTTGCTGGCACTGCAAGAGCCAATACTATTAAACAGAAGCAGCAATAATTTGTACCAGTACAACATAAGCTAAACAGTGCAAACATGATGGTGGGTCAACTATAGCAACTATAGCAACTGTGACATGCACAAATCACATGATTTCTTGAGCTAATGACTACATTCCCACAGCAACTTCAAAAATGTTTTACATACTTTTCAATGGGAAGAGGATGAGGTCCAGAGACAGAGAGTTTGTAGATGAACATAAGAAATTTTCGAAACGCTTCAAAGAAAGGCCAGTGTGAGAGAAGACAGATGCATTTGTTTGAATTGATGGACTTGGAAGTAATCACTTTTCTCTCTACAGTCGTCAGAAGACCCAGCTGTGATTGCTGTTTTTCTGTTAGCAGCTCCCGGGGATAAGGCTCATAAAACTGGATAGCAGCACCGTAAACCTACAAGATGAAGTGATACAGCTAAGCAGGCCCAGTATTTAACAGGAATATGGACTAGAACTTTTGATGCACCTTTAAGTCTTTGGAGTTTGCACACACTACAGTGCTTTTGCTGGTACCTTATGAAATGACTTCATTTGTGTAATATGCACAAAGCAACCTTATAAACAAAATGCCTTGAACTTTCTTCTTCATTTTCATTGCACCTTCCTCAACCAGTGAGAATTCATACTCACTTGAAAGGGAAGGAACCGAACCTTCATTCTGTGACAAAACCTTATCCATGAATCATCCGGGTCAAGAACATCCCCAAAATCTCAAACCCAAACCCTTATGAAATGTTTCTGTTCAGTAAATTCCCCTCTCTTTACCAAACTAAACAATAAAACTCTTTTAGCTTTGACTTCTCTCCTTTTATTTAAAAATATATTTTCTAATACTCCTTATCTATTTGTCTGTGTTTCATAACTGAGTTATTCTGGCAAGCTTAGCAAAAATGAATAAGGAAAGAAACCAGTAGCAGCTACTGTATTCCTCCTAGTAAAAGAAGTATTAATATTTTGAAGCAATGTGGTTTTGCTCTGTTTGGAAATGGAGAAGTGTGTAAATTTTTTTATTAGGGGAGTGAGACAGAGTGGAAGTTGAGTTGTTATCACAACAGATGATAACAGTTCTGCTGTTTATTAGAGAACTAATCAATCACACACTGATACAGAGAGCCAATAACACATTACAGTCACTTATTCCCTCATACAGTTCACAGACATTCACAATTGGCAAGCTGAAACAACGGCTGGGAGACCAACCCTAAGCAAAGGCTCCCTTGCTTCATCAAGAGTACCTCTACTACCTTCCTGCCTGTAACCTAAGTCGCACAATACATTTTTGGTGCCTTTGTATGCTGATGGCCTTATACAGATTCAGCAGACAAATCTGAATGTTAGAAGACAGAATTCAGATGTTCTGAATCTTTTCCTTCATGCAAATTAGAGTCTTTCACATACTACCTCTCAATGCACACTTCTCTTCTCCCTGCCTTCCTGCTTTCTGGTAACTAGCTTTCAATTCACATGCGGAGATATGTACAGAGCCCTATTACAGTAAGTCACAAACCCTGTTATATAAAGTCACATCAAAGTGTCTTTTAAGGTAACCAAGTAAAAATTGTAGCAATTGGCTACATTGCTAATACCTGTGTTAAATTCTCTTTAATACACAGACTACACTTCCATTCTCATCACATGAAAGAACAGGGAAAGCAATGTGCTGTGAGCTTTGGTTTTGTTAAGCGTACAGTTTAACCTACATAGGAGTAAACAGCACTTACTCTTCAGCTGCTTCCTGATTTGGTCCAGTTTCATCTTACATGAAGGCTTAAGAAATATAACTTTATAAGGGAAGTATTAGACAATGTATGAAGAAATAATCCCTATCTAGCTCCATAACAGCCATCTGAAATAAAAGCAAAAACACGTTGTGGAGCCATACCTTTTCTGCTGAAGAGCAGGTCAGTACAAATGTTGAGAACACTGGCAGTGGATATTTGGTTTGAGGGTCCCAGCATTCAATAGTAGCTCCCATAGGAAGGCAGAAGAGAGGTACAGAGTCTGACAGTGGAAATGACTCATAGTTCTCTTGAGGATATCTGAAAAGTAAGCCTCAAAGAAAAAAGAAAAGTAAGGACATTTGCTCTGCAGGCCCTAAATATTACAAGCAATATATTTTCCACAAAATATGGCCACATCTACACAACCCTGGGTTTACTATTGCTGCTGATCTTGCTTGTTCTGTGAAACAGCAACTTCATTATCTATTCTTTCAACTTCTATTTGATAGTTTACTCTTTTTAAGGAATTTAGTGTACTTACTACTCAGCAGAAATGCTTCTGTGAGTTTTTCTGGGCTCCTTCATAAACAAAAAATAATCTGTAGCAATGCATTAAAATTTTTTTAAAAGCCAGACTTGTCATTTATTCAGAATATTTTTCACTTTCTTCAAACAAAGAACAAGAAAATAGTTGCAGAATTGAAGGAAAGGAACACATTAAATTTTCAAATTAAACAGAAGATGTTTAAGCATAGAATGAAATACAAGTAAACCTGAACAGGATTTTAATTACTCCTTCTCCATTATTACCAACAAAAAAATATGAAGTCTTTTCTTACATGTGTAATGTTTGCAAAGACAAAAGTTTGCTAAAGCTCCTCAGTTAGCAAGCCTGTCATGATAAGAACTAAAATAATAAAGAGAAATGTTATTCCTTTTTTTTCCTGGGAAAAAATAAGGTGAGCAAAGAAGGCATTAGAGAAGCTGATTTCAACCAACATCCTCCAGGACCACTATTCTGACAGACAGCACTTAAATTTTTCAAATTATCATTGTATTTTAACAAGGCATTTGAATCCTTTTGTTAACATGTTTAGACAGTTTCTAAAATTACTTACCAGCTTTATACGCTAAAGAGTTAGAAGCTGGCACAGACTTCTTGTAACAAAGGTATACACTGGAACCCCACTGAAAAACACAAGTGTCATCTCAGAACCAGCAAAGATGACAACAAGGAACAGAATTCACGCATTTGAATAAACTCCCTTTACAAACAAATCAGGTATTTTAACAAAAAACACTACAGAATAAAATGACCAGCTGGCTGCTGAGTGCATGTAAATGACAAAAATGAGAACTCACCCTTCTCTCATTTTTAGACATTACAGGATTTACACAAAATAACCACACCACACACAACCACACTACTCTCTGACCTATTTCAACAAAAGAACAGGCAAAAGTGAAGCAGATTAATTTCCACCTTGATGTTTCCTTGGTTATTTAAAAGTAGAGTCTCATGGGGACCCATTACAGGAAGTCAAGTTCTAATCATCCTAAGTCATAATTTGAAGCTTTTATTGTACTTCTATAAACTGGTTATTGACACTGTTTTTTGCAGTTTGGCTACCTATACTCTATTAAAAAACTATTACTATTAAAAAAAACTTATTCCACTGCAAGTACACTAAATGCAAAATAAACTAAAAAAAAGAGAACCAATTAAAGCAAAGCACACTGAGAAACTCTAAGTAGCAATTATCATCCTTACAATGCATTAGTAGCACAGGCATTAATGAATCACTAAGAAAAAAGTGTTTCTGCTTCATCCCAAGTGTCAGCCTCTCCTAAGGGTGTGGGAGAGATAATTTAAAAAAAAAAAATTAAAACTTCATTGCACGACTCCTAAATAGCACCTTAACATGAATATGCAAACTGAAGTAGCAAGTAATCAGTATGAAACAGTAATTTTCAACATGAAAGGAAATCAAAGCAACAAAACCTACAAAACTGACATCTCACACATGGTATAAAGAATGAAGGAATTCTGACGTAGTGATAGAACACAATTACAATAGTACTACGAAGAGTTTAAGGAGCTCCTCCTTTAAATATATGAGTTGGGCTAAAAAAGAAAAATGAAAGAAAAAGAAACTCAGTCTTACAGATACTCACCATACCACAATTTAAATTCTTATCCACTTTACAGAATGTGTGAGGAGGGGTTTCCCCTTTGCTGGTAACAATAACACAGATATCTGTCACTGCCAGAGAGTTCTGGGGTCGCACTGGAGGGGCCCTTCGGTAGGTGATGAAGATGCGTTGCGAAGAAGCTGAGCTGTTGTTAACGTTGGCGCAACGACCGTACGGAGTAGCTTGGATCACCTCACAGCCCGAAATTATGCGGTCCTTCCCCTCGTAGAGAACTCTGCACAGGAAGCAAACACTATCATCAGCATTTGGAGAAACTGTCCATCCATTAGCAACCTATGCCATCCTTGCAACATTTTATCATGAATCTTATATATTCTCTTTCATCATGCAGTACCTGAGGTTGAAGAAACTGCTCAGAAATATATGAAACTATACTGAACTCTCTGTGGGAACAAACCAGAGTTTCAGAAAAATAAAATCAAGCTACATTGAAAAGGATTTAGTTATAGAACTAGTTGGAATGCTGCACTATTAATGAAAAATAAATACAAATTCCACTTTAAATTGCTTGCACACATCACAGTCGATAACTTAATCACTAAAATCACTGCTAAGTCTTTTAAAACTTGGGTTTTTTCTGGGTTTTTTGTTAAGCATTTTTTGGGTTTGGGTGAGTTTTTTTGTTTGTTTGCTTTTTTAAAATAAATATTTTTGGAAAAGCACAACAGAGGACAGAAGTCTGCTTCCCAGATTAATTTTTACAGAAAAAAACAATCCAAGCCCAGTAATAATTGACATTCACACTTTGAATAACAGTGCTTAAGAAAACAACACAGGAAGACAAACTAATACTTTGTTCCACAATAAAGGAAGAAACAGTAAGTACAATTGACTGTACACCTAGAATTCAGAATATATATTACATATCTCATATATCTTATACATGGCTGTACAGCAATATTCATGTGGTGCATGACTTTTTTCTTTTTGCAAGATCACTAACTTAGATCACCATATTTTTAGCAAAAACTGAAAGATCCTTAACAGCTTCACAGCAGCTAAATAAGCTATAATGTTTCTTTACCTAATATAAAGCTATTAGAAAGTCATTGTGACAAAAAATGTGGAAGTTAAAGCATACACCTAAACATTTCTAATGCACAGATGCTATTACAGGGCAAGCTTTAACTCCCATTCCACACCCAAATATGCAATGGCTCCATTTGCTTGGTTCTCTGCAGTATGTACAGAGTACCTGTCACCTTCAAATCAGTTTTTATCATAACAAGACATAGGATAAAGGTAACACGTTAAACCTTTGTACTTTGTGATCTCCAGCTTCTCACTCATAGTCCCTCACAACGTTAAAATAAGAAATAACCAGGCAATACATATTTACTGTCCCCAAATACCTTTGGTTAAATGTTTGACAGACTAGTACTAAGTACATATTTGTAAACTTCAGAAAGTCATGTCTCTAAGCTACAATAAGTCTTTTTTCATATCCAACTATTCCCAGAACTTTTTAAAAAAAATTACTAAACTTCCAAAATTACTCAAAGACTACTTCCACAATTACATTGGAATATGTAAAATTACTGTTTATTATGATTTAACACAAAATACATCTTGTCATAGTATTGATAAGAGACATAAATTGCAGTCATAGAATACTTTAAAAAAGCAAAGAAATCACATGAGTTAGGACTATATTGATGTAGCTATCAGGCTGCCAATTTATTCACCTAGTTCACGGAGGACAGCAATATTCAACAATGGTTTCAGTGGTAAAGACTCTGACCATCAGACTTCATACATTTTAAACAATGTGTACTTTCAGAACCAGCCCAGTACCAGCATTTCCAAGTCACAACATTAGTGTTAATATACTATGTACTGGTTCAAGATATTTATAGAAAAAGTAGGTGTGCCTGAACTACTCCTAAGCTAAGTAAAATTCTGGAAGAACACTTATTTTGCTCCTCCATAAAGTTAAAGAGCCTCAAACAAAACAGAACCCAAACAACTACAATGGCGGCTGCTCTGAGGCCACATCCATTGTGCATAAGGAGTTTACATGAATCCTTCACATCACTGTCTACATCAATCAGAAGAAAATACTAACAGAGCAATCTCCAATAAAAGTTTCAGTTCAGTTTTATTTCAGTTTCATGTATTTTAAATAAAACAAAAATCATAAATTTATTCCAGAAACATTTATCAGCTGTCAGCTTATGAGAAGGAGCACAACATTAATCAGACTGTTTCAGCAGTCCAATTGAATAAGTTTACAAGTATTGTAAGAAAATTACTTTAAGTGTTCAAGACTTTATCAGTGGGGTGACCTCTCACCAAATGAAAAAAGAAAATGAAAGCAATGTGCACCTCTATATGTACACTAGAGAAGTATTATTAAACCCACACCATTTCCTAACCTCAAGCACAGTTCGCAAGTTACAGTACAATGCCGTATCTGCAAGCAAACCGAAGAAAGCCACCACTCATGAACCACTCAAATTAAACAATGGTTTTAATGATTCAGAGAAAACATTCAGAAGTGATGCATGAAATAGTGCATGACACCCTGTGTATACAATATCCTCCCTGACAGGGTAAGTTTACTTCCATTTGTTTCAACTTCCAAGTGTCTGCCTTTGATTAATAATAACTGATCACAGTTAGACTTCTTTCCTGCCTTTTTACATTTATAGTTAGGTGTCAATCCTAAGTACATATTATTTGCTACTTTATTCTATCAATGTCAATACAGTTTCACTTCAAGCAAAATGTAAACCAGTTTCCTCTAGACGTCAGGTCCTTTGCAAGCAAAACCAAAAGAATCTTATCATCTCATTGTAAGACTGTTTGATATTGTACGTGGAAGTTCTCTCACACCCAGTTTTACTGATTTCAAAGCGTACTTCAATGCATCAGGTAATAGAATTTACAAAGAGGAAATACAACCTTGTGGCTGTTGAGCTAAAAATCATAAACCATAAAAAACTTTGCTCTGGAAAACCATTTCAAAACAGTCGGACTTCTGTAAATTGCATTTGTCTAAGACTGCTGTTGAGTTTGACTCCTTTTCTAGGTCCAAACACAATCCTGTCTCTCACAGTTCCTAGGCAAAATACACCTTTATAACTCCTCTTCCTCTCTCATTTTTCAAGTATTGAAAAATAAAGGAATTTATATAAATATTATAAGGTCAGAAAAGTGGTGGATTAAGAAAAGGGAAAAGACTGAAAGACTTTTTTAAAAGACTTTTACTTCTACTGCCATCTCTAGTATTATTTGTCTGAACAAACAAGTTACTAGTTTCATCATTATTACCCTACACTGTTCTAAACATCCAGCAGCTGTTGTCACAGTAATGGGATTAAGGAACAATTGAAGATGCTAGCTGCTAAGAACATCCTCCGGTTTCTATTACCCTTCTTGAAATTTGGGTTCATTTTCTTTCTTGAAATACTTCTCTAATAAAGAGCATCATCATCATCAATTTGTTTAGTTGATATGACTGCAGACATTTTCAGAAATCATGCATATAGAATCACAAGGGTCCTTAGCACAGAAACCCTAAGCAAATGAAAGCATCCAATGCCACTTAAATTTTTTTTTAAAGTTTAAAAATCAGAATTTCTTTACTTACATAATGCAAGTCAGCTAACTTTTGCATTACTTGGTATTACAAGAACCTCTGCTTCAGGCAAGAAGTCTGGTATTCTTTCGTTTCTATACCAAGTGTTATGAATTGCAAAACCACTTCTACTTTAAAACAAACATTTTTCTGTCTAGTTTTTCTTCCATGTAAGAAACATATACTGGAGGGCTAACAGATTCCTAACTGAAGTGTAAAACACAGAAGTGAGATTTTGTTTGAAAGTCTCACTCCACCTAAACCGAAACAGATCTCAAATCTCAGTTCTTGTCTTTTTTTGGAACACCAGCAAAAAAACTGGTGAAGAAAAGAACAGAATGACAGTAAATGAATTATTTCATAGACACACAAGCCTAAGATACTAAATTTTACAGCTACATTTATGAAGAGGATCTTAAGAGGTCATTTATCCTAGGAATGAACCTTTATTTTTCCAACTAATATTTTTTCCAACTAATTAATCTGATTAATTCTGGAAAATATAACATTCAAAGGCATGACACATGGCCTAACTGTGTGCAAGTGAGTAATTGCAGCAGGAATTCACTCTAGCAACTTACAGACACTTTGATTCAACAAGCAGTGGACAAATGGAAAGGAATGAAGATGGAGGGAACAGAAATACCAAACACAAGGACAGAGGCAGACAAACAGTAGAGCATATCTCTATCCCTCTCTTCACCAAATGGCATTTGTTTAACTACTTTCCCTGAAAATAACACTGAAAGAAATACAAAGACAGAAAAAAACATTCATCAAGAATCACTTGAATGCTCTGACTATGACATAAATCAATTTTATACATATACTAACGTAAGAGTACACATTTCACCCTTTCAAAGGATGTACTCTTCCTGTACATATTGAGTTCACTCAGCATGTCAGACTGGCTCAAAGGTAAAACATTATTTCACACTGGTTCTTTAATAAAGTAATAGGAAACAGCATAAATTAGCCTTCAGACTGTACATGCATCGCTTGCCTGAACTCTGCTTTTATCTGAACACAATGGAATTCGGAAATTAAAAAAAACAAATAAAAAAAGATTGCTCTACCCATCTCTTGAACATAGTTGCAAAGCAGGAGGAACAGCAGGGGGAGAATATGCATCGTTGCTCAGAGAGAAAAGACTGCCATGATGTATTAGGTGCGACACCCTAACTTGATCTGTCTACAACAAAATACAGAATAAATACTATTTGCCAAATGCCATCATCTTAGCCAACTACTTGCCTACTTTGTTTACAAAATCACCCCAAGCATTCAAGCTGCCAAGGTGATGGGAGACACCAAATACACATGTGCTAGCCAAGTTGCTTCCCTAAAGGCACATGCTGAAGACTGATTTTTCATTACTTCCTTTGAGGAAACACTCCCTGCAGAAATGCTTCCTTCTATAGGAACTTAATGAAGCTTAAAAAATCAGCCAAAATGTACCTTCACATTGTAATGTCTCTTCTTACAGTGCCAGTCACACACATGGGAAAAGAATCACCTACTGGAATGCAGATTAAATGATCAAGATGAACACAAGTTAGAATGTACCAGCTTAATTATACAACTCGAACTATAATCCTTAGGAGCGAACTATCTTGCCATGAAGCTGCTTTCATTACTCAGATTTCACTATCAGTCTCCTCCCTGACTGAACACTGTCAGTAAGCACAAAAATTGTAGGTCAAAAACAGAATATGTAGGCTTCAAGCCAAAGCATTTAAGCTTATAAATGAAAATAATTAAATGTATTATAGCATATATATAGATGCATGATTTTAACTCCCTACTATTTATTTAATAACTAAGTAGGGACAAAAATAAAATTCTTTATTTTGCCCTAATTGTAAAAGCACCCCACAACCAGGCTCCACTTTCTTTCTCATTATACTCCCAGTAGCTCTACAATGTCCTTATACATTTTTAAGTTGTATCTTTCACCATAAGCATTAAAGTGAATTCCAAAGTGATATTTTTTGACTTCTGAAGTCATAATTTTCAGATAAAGCATGCTAATGTTTCTGGATTTACACTACATATTTTCTATAAATTAATTCTGTGTTATTCAATTATCTTTCATAAAACTGCAGCAGAGAACTTAAGTTCTCGTTTTTATCAGCTTCATCTCTCCCATCCTTTCAACTAAAACATCATCGTTAATTTTAAAAAGAGAAATTCACTACATGACTGACACTTTGTTCAATGTATTCGATACAGAAACACACAGTAAGCAATACAGATTCAAACAGGACTTTTTAAGATGTTTTCTCACATCTGTTTTCACCATCATCTATGAAGAATAAGATTTTATCATTATTTAAGGAGGAACTGAACTGCCATAGAAATCTCACCCGATGTCAGTAAGAGGTGGCTTGTCCCGGCCTCTCTTGTAGCACAGAAAAAGTTCAGGACTCTTTAGACTTCCATAGTTTAAGTTGGCTTGGAGGGCTGTAGGGGTGGCCTCAACACAGGTATATCCCTCTGGGACAGTTTCGCCAGCTGATTTAATTATCACAGCAATGTCAGTAATTGGAGCCTTGGGACCAGTTGACTTTGTTTCATGTCGGCTGATTTCTTGGTCCAGGAGGGTTGCCGTGTCTGTATCAGTGAGTCCTGCCACTACGAAATAGTCAGCCACCCGTGGACCTTTGTCTTCTATCATGGTTATGTCAATACTTCCTGGGTAAAAGAAAGAGAGAAATCAAACACTCCACTTTCAAACTCAAACCCTTCTCTCAGCAACTATGAGGATTTAGAACTTTTGAAAAAAATTTTTGCAACTAGAAAAGTACAGAGTTATATACAGAGTTCATGAAAATTCCATGAAAACTGCAAAACAAACTTTGACTTTTGCTGCACAAAAAATATACTGAAGGATATGGCAGGTAATCAGATTTCAGTTCTAGCACCACAATAGTAATGTTTTAGCACAAGGAAGTTTAAGTGAGATATAGGATAACTCAAAGCTCTTAACACAGCAGCTACACAGAAAAGTAATCTGTGCTATCTATTAGACCAAGCTCTTCATGTATCCTGGTCTGAAAGCATTCATATTTTTCTGCCATTGCTTGTGAGCAATATGACCACAGAACCAGGTAGTCTTTTTTTTTTTTTTTTTGCTACAAAGAGAACAATTCCAAGTACAGGCTCATCACTTTATCTTCTGCATAATTCATCCATTTTGTTTTATAACATAGGCCTAATAGTGAAGTCTTGAGACACTCAGCCGGCAACTGTAACATCTGGAAGTCATTTACAAAAATCACACATCCAAACCCGCATTTCATCAGCTGATCAGAAAGTACACATCACTGCTCAGCTGCACATTCCAGATCTGGAAAGAGCTGTTCTCTCAACACCACTGATGTTCACTAAGCATATGAAATTAAACCAGTGAAACATAAGTTTCTATTAGGACCATAAGTTTCTTTTAGGAACCTAGCTAACAGCCTATGCTCAGCTACCTCAAGTACTACTTCAAGTTCCCAAATCCAGTTACATCTTTGATTTTCATAAAATGAGTAAGACATAGTTAAACAGTAGCAGTCAAGCAATGAGCCTGAATACTGTTATACCTCTTCAGAAAGCTAAGTATGACATTTTTCTAGATCTTATTTCCATCACCGATTTTTGGGAATCCCATATAAAAAGCAAATGAGTAATGGAAGTCTGGTTCCCATCTCTGAAAACAAGACAGCCATAGCTGCCAAGGTCCTACCTACCAAGGAGTGGTGGTTCATGGATACTACCACCAAAATAATTAGTGCACAAATATTGTGAAATTTCTTGTATACAGAATGCCCAAGGTTGGTAACTGCAGAAACATTGGCCTCTGCTGAAGGAAAGGTAGTTTGGTGAAGGCAATATAATATTGTTCCCTGCAACCTGATTTATGCTTCTGTTCTTACCCTGTTCTTTCTTACTAACATTATATTCAAAATGTATTTTCGATCTTCACAGCACACAAGACTTCTAAGACTTTTGATAATAAGGGTACTAAATACTCACCTGAGGTAAAAATCAGTTATCTATCCTGCATATTTACTAAGAAATTTTAGCATAAGATTATGCAACTTGTGCCCAGTGTTATATTGCAAGCTATTGCAGCAAGAGACAAAAGTAGGGAGAGGAAGGGAAATAACTTCATGTAAATTTGTTGCACCTCTATATTAAAAGTACAGTTTTTATTTTCTTACACTGAAATAACAACTTTTCAAATCCCTTCAAACCTGAAAGGAGATGTACCTGCACCCTTTAAAATATTTTTCAATACTACTTTTCACACTATCGCTACAATGTTCTCTAAGCACTTTGGCTAACAGCTTTGTAGGGTAATCCATATAGAGACAGAGAAGAGTTTGGCTCCCTTGCAAAGAAGAAGGCCAAGGGACAGTTATTTACATGACTGGATTTATGCCTAAAATATGTAGATGCCATATCAACAGAACAATGAAAGTTTTATCCAATTTGTCAGGTCGTCATTTCCTTGCTCTTCAAGGGCCTACATCTCCTGAAGAACAAGGAAATTACTACAGAGCCACAGCTACCTGTGAAACTCCTATCACTTTTATGTACAAAACTTGCCTCAGTTTACTTTTACTTTCATAAAAAGCATGAAATCAGCAACAAAGTGCCTTACAGCTAAGCAAGTCAGCAAGAAATGCAGGGGGAGTGGCCTCAACTTCATCTCTATAAACTGGTCTTCAGTTAAAAGGTCCCTTCTCACACTGCCACTGCTCATTTCCACCTTTACTTCTGTCTGGAACTATAGTTTGTGCAACCACATAATGAACTGGAACAAGAAATTGCTCTGACTGAATGCTAACCTGGCAGAGACTTAGCGTTCAACCAGAGCAGCTCTCCAGCAATTGCCTGTGTCAGCACAAAAGCAGTAGCAGTATGACCCTTTCGGCAGCAGCACTGACTTACACTGGATTAATCATAAAACTGTGAAGTCTAAAATGTTTCAGTTTGCCTCTCAGATGCTTGGAATTGTTTGAAGAGTCACAAAAACAAAGAAAGAAAAAAGAAATAAAGAAATAAACTATCCACACTCTGCTCCTCTTAAAAGAAAGTCCTAAGCTAGAATATATTGCAATCTGTAAAATACTAAATTACTCGGAAAAGCTGATAAAAACAGCAGAACAGTTGGCATCCTATCATTTGTTTGGTTTTTTTTACCAAAAACCTTTTTAAAATATTCCAGCCTTTTATTAACTGGGTCACATTCACACAGCTCAGTATCATGTTCTCTCAATGCAACACTAAAATCGTGGCCTACATTTACTTTTAGCATGCAGAGCAGCAAAAAAACCCCAAACAGTAACAATAACAGCATACATCAAAAACATCATAAGAGTTTATATCTTTAATCACAGCTCAAGTTTCTGGAATTGCACTGTTATCCTCAAATATGCTTTAAAAGGAGAACTTCGTTTTTCTGGGAAAATGGAGGAAAATGGAGGAAAATTCAAAAGCACCTGAAAAAGTAAATACTAACATTTGTAAAGTTAGAATGCAAATTAAGAGAATGCATTTGTAAATTTTCATCGGTGGGGATCAATAAAACTGTAGAAATTAGTTGCTAAGGAGCATACGCTTGTATCTCCTTGTGTACATTACACTTTTCTATTAGCCCTGGCTATGTTTTACCTCATAGAAACTTTGTGTAATATGTGGCAGGCAAAAGTCAGAGTCACCAGACAATTCAGCTGAGATACTTGGCACAAAAGCTTTGTATATCAGCACAACATTTAGTGAGTTTTTCAAAATGTTATAAGTCTCTCAAAACAGTTCCTTTTCCACAAGGATAAGTAAGGTTTCAAATAAGCACTACAAGTCAGCTCTTCAGGAATCTGTTCTCCAGTTTCAAAAAGACTTAAAGAAACAGGATCACTCAAAAGAGACCTGAAAGTAATAGCTCTTAATTAAGCCATAGTGATCTTCACTAATGCAACAGCTTTAGAAACATAAATAGACAAAGAATTAGCAGACAACCACCAATACAAATAGAAACAGCAGAATTCACCAAGTCCAAGAATACTCTGCCTTACGAACTGCAGGGAAAAAAACCCACAGGATTTGTGGGGAACAAAATGAATCCACTATTATTTTCCATTATTTTTGTGATGACTCACACAAGAACAAGTATGAACACTGCTCCTCTTAACAGACAGGGGAAAAAACATTCTTCTAAGAGCCCATCTATTCTAAATTTATCAAACCAACATTTCCCAAGAAGAACATCAAAAGCTACTGTGCTCCATCCATCTTCTATGAGCACAGCTCTGTACATCATAAGACAAAGAGAAAACCTCAACATTTAGAAAATATTGGGATTTCTATTGTAACACACAATAGTGTGTTTCCTTGCAGGAAAAAACCTAAATACAAAAACAATTCTCAAATTAAAAACTGCTTATCTTCAGGCTGGACAATGACAATGCAGGATGTATTGGAAAAAAAGTCTGCATACAAGTCCCATGAAATATCTTTTTTTTAAAGTCTATGAAGATACCTAATTTTAAGCTAAATAAACTGAAAACAAAAATTGGGAATTCCATTTCAAGAACACGAGCAATAGTGCTCGAGGAATTGCTAACTCCAAGGTCCATAGGTTATGAAAAAAATTATTTAACTGAAGTTTGTTTTCCAATTTATTCATAGTCCACAATTGGAAAGTTTGCTGTGAGCAATTTAGGAACAATTTATTTTTTTTTTTTTTAAAAAGGAAGGGGAAAAAAAAGAAAAATGCATTCCGAATAAAAGATGCACTTTTAACACACAACTCCCCCCACCCCCTGTCATGTTCTTCTAAAGCGAATTCCCATGGGCAGTAATTAGTTTCATAAATGGAAAACAAAACCAGTCAGCACACACCACACTTTAAGGCACTTAGTACATCTAGCCTAAGACAAGATTTGTTTAGCAAAAATATGCAGCACTGAAGAAAACAACATATTTTCAGTGTTAAATGCCAGAAACATGACAAAGTGTTCTCTCCCACAGTTCACTTAAGGTTAGCTGCTTTAAGAACATAATAATCTTTCTCACAATCAAAATGCAATTTTATAATTCTTTATAAAGTTCTACCAAAAATAAAGTTAAGTTGCTATTTTCTTCACAAAGGTGACTGATCTTTCTTAAGGAGAGGTTTCATAGGGAAACTGCCTTGGTGAAAAGGATTCCATTTTTATAAAAATAGGTTTTATAATTTTTGAAAAAAATTACTACATTAGAATTTGCTTCAGTTCTTTACTAGTCTCTAAAGCTTTGGTTAAATTCTAAAAAGGTATTAAGTGTCAAATTATCTTCTAAAATTAGGCTAGAAATGTAAGCATAACTCAACAAAAAAATGGTACTGTTAAATGTAGTTTTTGACAAGGGTCCTAAAGAAAAGGAAGCATAAGCTTTGCTAGACTGTGTACAGAAGCAACCAAGGGAAAGGGTTTGTTACAAACCCAATCTGATAATTTGCACACAAATAATAACACCTTCAACTAACAAGAAGGCGGCATTCTTGGAAAACTATGTATATACTCACTCCAGAGTAAGAATGAGAGCTGGATTCAGAAATAGCTGGTTTTAAGGCTTATGTGCAGGCAAATCCTTGGGTACTGCTTATTTCTTTCAGCTCTTGGAAAGTGCTGCAAATACTGTTATCTCAATGCACAAAGCCA